TCCAGCTCTGCACCTTTGTTGTCAAAGGAAGTATCAAGTCAGGTGACCAAAAGGACGGCCTAAAGAAGGGAAGGAGAAAAGAATTTTTGGAGGGTATTTCATCCGAGGTCTTGGGAACTGAAGGCATACTAGAAATGTGAGAATTTAAACTGGGGTTTTAAGATTCTAGAATTGATTAAGTATAAGAATTTGAAAATTGTGTTACCGCTATTGGTATTATTTAACCGAAGACTATAGACCATTATAGAGCCTGGGTTGTACAAGCATGGAACTTGGTGAAAGCTTTACGTGGCCAGTAGGAACATAAAGATTATGGAAGTTGGGAGATGGTCTAGATTACAGTGCTGTAATTATTGAGGTAACAGAGGCATGGCTGAGTGTCTTGGCAGTGGACAAGCTGCAGTGGAGCAGAGTCAAGCAATGTTTCCTATGTAGAAATATATTCATGGTGTTGGCAGGGTCATGTCAGAAGTTCATGTTGGGGTCATAAATGGTGCACATGTTGATAACAGTCTGGCTCTGGCACTGCCAGCAGGGTGAAGTCGATAGGCAACAGCTTTTGTGTAGATAATGGTTTTGATCTACCAGTATTCAATTGGAAATTTCTACTCTGGTGCTAGATAGCTAACCATTTGGAGTCTGACAGCTGATGGAAAAGGCAGCAATTATGGGCATTGCCAGCACTAGGTGGACCATTGCTATCTGTGAGTGAACATTACGCCTGACTGGCAAGGTAACCATGTCTGATGCACCAAACTTGATTCCGAGCAGGAAACAAGTATCCACACTGCACAATTTTTTTAGATTAAATTTTAAACTAGTTGTAAACTGTTTAAAAAAAACACTACAACATTCTATAAATTTATTTGCAAACTGACATTTCTGGTGACTGTTAAATAGCCTGGTGTCAATGCAGGCTTCTGACAATTCAGTAAGATTATGGCTGATCTGATTGTGGCCTCAGTTTGTTTCTTTCTTCCAATTCTCCCCTTTAATCTTTGACAACATTGTAGATCAAAAACTTGTCTAACCCATCCTTTTAAGTGACAAGTGATGTTACCTCAAACTTTTCAATAAAATCGGGGATTCTCTTGGTGAAGAAATTTAAACTGATTATAATTGTTTTGGTGTTTTCCCAGATCTTAAAACTAGTTTTAAAATGTTATCACATTGGTAGGTTGTCACTGACACAAATGTGCATGCACAGATAGATTGTGGCTGCCATTCTCATGTTGAGAATGTTCACTCGGGTTAGAGAAGGTGGAGGGTAGTTGAGGTAGAGCTGCTTGTTGTCATTGTAATTGCATAACTGACATGATTGTAGATGTTGCCAAGGGACAGACTATAGATGAGAAATGCAGAGCGTCAAGAATAAAGACTTGGGGAGCACCAGATCTGACAGTATAGCAGCTGATACATCTCTGGATGTGACTCCATAGTTAAGAATGGAACTTGTCAAAATGGGTGCCATCCAACTGGACAGTGGGGTGTAGCTGAAGATATGCAGTGGTCAACTGTCAAAGATCGCAAACAGGTGAAAATGTGTAGGTTAAACCATATCCCAATTGCTTAAAATGCTACTTGTTACTTTGAGAGTTGTTTGGTACTATATCAAGGCAGAAACCTCTACTGAGGGATTCAGTGTTAGAGTTCTGGAGTCATAAGGGAAATTGGAGTAGGAATAGGCCATTGACCTCCTAGCCCCTTATGCTGTTCAGTAGGATTATGGTTGTTCTGAGTGTGCCCTAAGCTTCCCCTTATTTCTGCCCCCCCACCCCCGACCAAATCTTTGCCCTTGTGGGTCAAAAACTGTGTGATATATCCTTTTAAGTGGTATCCACATGGGTTTGTCAGATGACGCTATCTCTGAGGACTTTTGCTGAGGATTATGAAGTTGGAAATGCAGCAAAAGCTTGCAAGAGCAGGAGATGTTGGTATTTGTTTTTGAGGAGATCGCAACTGATTAGAATAGAGGGGCATCAGTAGTGAACAATATCACTTAATATGAAGACGCGTTGGTCACCAGTTTTAGTGGTGTAGTGTTGATGGTGCAAAAAGGTAAGATTAGCTTCACGAGTTTGCAAGGGTGGCATGAAGGAGAGAGTGGCAAAATTAAGTTTGTGGCATCAGGTGTAGGGAGTTGAGAGTTTAATCTGGTGGGCTAACAGGACAAAAGTCTTTAACTGGTTGCTCTCAACATTGGCAAAGAAATGGATGAGCTCCTTAAAGATGAGCATTGAGGGGTTGGGTGGAGGAGCTTAAGATTGGTTGCTTTGCTGTCAAGAAAAGAAGCTAGGAGACTATTTTTGAAATCTAGGACAATCCAAAAATTGTGACTTGCCTTTGCAGATGAGAAATTATATGGTCCAGCAAGGTAGTGATGAATGACTAAACCATTTTCCACTATCATTTCAAATCTACATCCCTCTGACTTGAGGATATACCATGGGGAACCGCCAGTGTAAGATATGAATGGCTTTACTGGCAATTTGAGCTTTATAGGTTGAATTAAAGGAACGTTTTGAGCAGGTTTATAGCTGCAGAAGTATTTTGGCATGTGGAGGTTCCAAGGCTAACTGGCTAGGATATTTTAAGTACAGCTTTAAGTGAACTGGGAGATAATTGGTTCCCCCACCCCAACCACAAAACGTGACTGGCACTGTGGCAAGGATACAAGGAGTGATTGGAACTGGTCTTGAGTAATTCTCAAGTGGCCTCCCTTCTCCGTTGTGAGAGCATGATCAAAGACTTAAATAGAATTGGGGAATTTTATAGGAAGGGAGATATTCAGGAATAGTGGGAGCACAATGAATTCTGAGGAAGAGCATGGTTTGTTCAGATGGATTCCAAATTACCAGGTTTAAAAAGTAATTTGATACAGACACTAAGAAGAAAAGCAAGTGTCACTATCCTGGTGATAATTAATAATTTAGTGTGTTCTAATGGAGATTGAAGCATAGGCTGGATGTCTAGAGAAGTCCCAAAGCAGGGTGGGGGTGGGGGAGGGGGGGAGTGAGGTGGGAATCCAATAATCTGGTGAAAATAAGAAACAAATATAATTGGATAGTGTTAAAATGAATATTCTGCTTTAGCTGCTTTGACTCGTAGTGGAATAAAAGTTTGGGGAAGAAGGAAATAAGGATGTAAGGAGCTGACCAATTAAGTATTGATAGAATATTGAATCATCAAAAAAAATCACCTTGGGGAAGATCGGTTATTTTTAAAGCTACATCAATCTGACTTGAAAGCAGCTATGAGAAGCACCTTGATTTGTAATATCTATCAAAACAGCATTGTTATATTCCATATTCCATATTACATCCCAATTTTTTGTACACCTTTTGAGGCCACCTGTCTTATGCCAGGTTAACTAATAAAATAAATCTTCTGATTTACTGTGTCAGCAGAAGAAATTCAATAAGTTTTGAAAATTATCCTCTTTAACTATAACATTTATTTGGTCTATGACGTCATGCAAGATGTTGAAGATTTAAATTATCCCGGGTTATCGTGTCATTGGACATGTAATCTGGAAGCATTGAAGAAAATTCCAGAAAATTGCATTCATTTTCAAGAATTCAGAAGCTAAAATATACAACGAATGAAAGCATCATACAACTTCATATGCTATAACTATATAATTTTAAGCTGGTTGCTTTGAGAGTTGTAAAATCTATAAAATAGCAATTTTAGCTATGTTAGCATTTTTCTCTTCAATGAGATTGAATCCCACAAAAAAGTCATTCATATGTTGTTAAGTATTGAGCATTAAACAGTAAGAATGTCAAAGAGCAATTTCAAATTCAATTTGATTAAAAATTTGAAAGCTGTCTACATGCTTTTCGTTGTACAAATGACCCAAAGAGTTGGGTGATCTGGGTACATATGAGGGTCCTGCCATTGAGAGGGTGAGTATTTTATTCCATTGTTCCCTTTCGCACAGAAGTTTGCCTGGTCACATGCTTCTGCAGTATTAAAACTAGTGATCAGAGCTATAAATAATGGAAGTGTTTCTTGTTCACCAGTATTAGAATTGATACAGCTGAAAAGAAAATATTGTGTGTTCATGAGGCGGTTATAGGCCAAAGGTCAAATGCTCAATGCTTTGCATTTTTTGAAGGTTAATCAGAAAAATTAATACGAAAGAAACCAATGTCTGATCCATATAGTTTTGAGGTTACTAAAGCACGTGAATGAATTTGACTTGCATTCTGCAATTGTGCAAGGTATTTCTGGTGAATGAGCGGTGCTTGTAATCTGACACCTGTTGAGTAATGGTTTCTTTAACTCCTAACAGAATATACAGATGATAATGCTTTAATCCCCAAGAATTCATCTGTGATTATAAAAAGGATTCCGATTGGAGGTGTGAAATCTGCTGGCAAAACATTTGTCATGTAAGTATCTGAAAAATTTCAGTGTAAAATCAGTTTTGCACATGTTTTAAGGAGCTTGATTTTATCTAGTATTTTTATATAACCAATAGAACATTTTAACAATTACAGTGAGTGTGATTTTAACCAGAGATGCATTCGGCAGTCCTTCATTTTACATTTTAGACATGAAAGACAGCAGAAAAGGTTTTACTAATTATTTAAGGCTGATGCATTGCAATATCCTTCAGGTCTCTGTGTTGTATCAAATATTTGAATTATGTGAATTTTCGCACGTTGTTGTAATAGATGAAATGAATCCGCATGCTATCTAAACTGTCGTCACAAAGGATGGTCATTGGTCGCTTCACTCTAATTGCATCGTCTGCACTAGGCAGACAAATACAGAAGTGTTACTAACTCTTCAGTAAAGTTCCATGGTCAAGTGTCTTATGTGAATGAGATAGAATGGAAGATCATTGCATTGTTTGCCCCTTTATCATTGCTATCCACCAAACAAACTTAACTGAGCAATCCAAGGCAGATTGAGTTGATTATCTCAATCTTGACACTCATCAATTAAGCCGTCACACCCAAGTCTGAGGTTATGACGTGTTGCTAATAAACCTGCATGTCCAAACTTAAAGGTAGTGTTCATTATTTTGGTTTCATGCACAGTCAGGCCAATGCATAGATCATAAATGTATATTAATATGAGCATTAGTTTAAATATGTTTCAACCTGCAGAGTAAGCTAATATTGATATTGCTGTTTTGAATTTGTCAAACTTTGCAAATAGGATGCTCGATGCTCTAATAGAATTCAGTTGTGAAGCTTTGGGACTGATAATGGTCATGTTCTCTGACCTCCCTAATTTAATAAACTTACTTAATTTTGGTTCTGCAAACAGTAGTCAGATGTTATTTGCATATGTTTTGAATATGTTCTCATTCTCTTTCTAAATCTCCTTAAATAAAGCAGAGTTTAGTGTTGAAACCTTTGTTTTGTCACTTTTGGTTTGGAGCAGTAGCTTGTTTGTTAAAAATAACATTGATATTTGCCTTTGAAGCTATTGTTTTAATTTTACAGTGTTACAAATACAAGGATAGGGAAGCTGATTTGAATTGGTTCAAAAACAGAAATTGCTGGAAAATCTCAGATCTAGTAGCATCTGTGGAGAGAGATCAGAATCAACGTTTCAAGTCCAGTAACACTACTTAAGAACTGGGTGTTCTGGTAGGAAGTATAAAAAAGTTATTTGTCAAAAAAAATGTTGAAATAGGTTAATAGAACAAAAGGATTTAGGAATACAATTGCATATGTTAAATAATGATAGATTTATAAAGCAATAAACAAGCCATTGAGCATTGGGATACATTTCTATCCTCTCATAGCACTGAGAAGCAGAGACTTGAATTACTCTCTCAAAGATCAAACAGGATGGGACACTCCCTTAATACTGGAGGAGATGACATGGTAGAAGATGTTAAGGTTAACTGGGAATGTGTAATGGTAGACTTATTGGAAGTGTTGTGGTGGATGCAAAGCTTGGTGCTTTAGAGGCAAATTATTTATAAATCCAATAAGGAATTCCGGAGAAACATTTTTACCCATATAATAGGAATGTGAAACTCACTCCTGCACGTAGTTAGATGGAAGGCATAGATCCCATAAATGTCAAATTAGATATAAACTTGTGGGAGTAAGGCATAAAAGGACAGATTGATGAGGTTAGGTAAGAGATTTGGAGGTTGCTCCTGTGGAGTATAAACATCAGCATAGATGTGTTGGGCACAGTGATCCTATAGCAAGTACAAAGTGTTTGTTCTTTGGTTTGTGGCAGAACCTTCGTTATAGTCCTGTGCAAAGCAACAGATGCTCTGTTTCTTGGACTTCTGACTCAATTTACAGATATACCTGGCAGATCTACCACTTTCCCGAGGATGCTAAAACAGTAAAACCTGAAACTGAATAGCAAGAACAAGAAGTGTCAAGACAGGACTTCTTCCAAATGTAAAAATGGCAAAAAAAAAGCCAACACGAGGAACTAAATGTTGAAGAAAGCATGTTGTTGAATCTGAATAAGGATTTCATTTAAAGAAAGCAAAATACATCATAGGCTAGAAATCTAAACAAATAAAATGCTGGCAATACTCAGTGGTTAAAAAGTCATTCACCCATAAGGATACTTTTCTTGCACAATTAAATAATGCCTTCATATGAATTGCCTTGCAAATATTACTCTTTTGCATCTAAATATTTTTGGTCTTCAACTTTTTTTGCAATTAACAACAGGAAGTTATATCCAGTATTAAATTGTGTACGTATCAAAGCAGAGTGGGCATTAGTACTCAAAATGTGAATGAGTAATTAAGTGACTTTGAGTTGAGAAGACTACATATTTTGTGACTGAAAAAGACTCTCATTTGTACAACACGCAATCTCAAGGCCCTTACCATTTCCAAATACAATGCAACATATTGCTTTAAATTAGTGTAATTGTTATGTTGACCTGCTGTGGTAATTGTGCGCTTAGTAAGATCATACAAACAGCAATAAGATTGATTAACTATTAATCAGTTATTGAATAAGGGGAAAAATGAGAGAGAGTTTGGCCATGAAGCATATTACTTGCGCTTCAAGATACCAAGCATCCAGTGGAATAAGATGGTGACTCTCCTCAGAGGCTGACACTAATGTAGCACTAGTTTTCAAATTTAGTTTATTTATTTCAAGCACATTGATTTGGAAATTAGTCGTCTGACATTTTGCTTGGATCAGTAAATTTGAAATTGGTAGTTTTGGACAAACAAAAATATTGTCTAATTATTTTGACGTAGACCAGAATTTCAGGGTTCAGTGGTGTTAACTAAAACAGAAGTTGCTGGAAAAGCTCAGCAGTTCTGAGGAAGGGTCATTGGACTCGAAATGTTAACTCTGATTTTCTCTTCACAGATGCTGCCTGACCTGCTGAGCTTTTCCAGCAACTTCTGTTTTTGTTCCGGATTTACAGCATCTGCAGTTCTTTTGGTTTTTATTCAGCGTTGTTAATACTGTCCCCATCAGTCCGTTGCATAAGTGCATTGCATTAACTATCTATTGTGTGTGGGTCTGTTGGCAGTTGACTAAGTGGTAAATTTTACTGGCATTTGATTTCAAAATTACTTGTATTCAGAATGTTGTATGCCTGTAATATATACAACCTGTCCACCATTATACAGGTGCCTTCAACCAATAGGATAGATAAGGCCAACGTGATCACTGACCTTGTTTTTTGCTCACTGAGTGAATCATGCACGTTTGATAATATAAGGGACCACAAAATTTTCTCTCTTTTTTTTTGGACTATAAACTGGACTGAAGGTTGTACAGCTGTATCGCTGAAATACTTGGAGAGTTTTGCAACCTGTAAAAATCAAAAGGTGCACTTTTTATCTTAGTTCAGCAAAACATATTTGCTTTGCGAAGTAGTGAGGGGTAATACTTTCAATGTGGTACTGAGAGTCTTTGAGGCCACTTGACAAAAGCCCTCTGTTTGAATTTCAATTTGTTCCAAAGCTGTAAGTGCAGGGTAGCCAGTAATATCAATGCCTGTGAATTGGAAATGTTGCTGTCAGGCTCTCTGTAACCAGAAAAGACCTAGGCCCACTGGATCAGTTATCAAAATGACGCAAGGCAATCACTTTACAGACCGCAATGCAATTGTTACTAAAATCCAAAAACAATTAACAGACGATTTAACCAAATCTAGAGATGTGGTCTCCTGTTCTTCTGTACCTTGTCTATATTTTCAACACTCCTTGATATGCGTCGAGCAGTCTGTCTCTTCCCTCGATCATAAATAAGGATGTAAATTTGGGGTTTGAGGGATATAGTTCAAATTGCATGATAGTGTATGAGAAACTTCCTTCTCTCTGCCATTTGGTAAAAGTTTTAAGTGTGTTACAATAAGTGTTCATTCCTGTGAATTGTTTTTGTCCTTAATAGCAGTTAGGCAAGTTGGTCTTCCTGTTGGTTTAATTGGAATCTTCAGCGTTTGGTAACAGCATATGAAACAGTGGCACGTGATTATGGATGCATTCTTCCAGTTGTGACAGTGCTCATTTTGAAATTCTATTTGACTGTTTTCTCATGACTAGTCTTTGATGCTTTCAAAGCACACTGATATTTTTGGTTGAGAATTCATAATAAGAGTATTCTGTATTGAAAATATTTTCTCCTTTCACTTGTTGTTATAGGTATCTTTTATGTTTAACTTATGAGCTCAAAGCAAGTGACTGTAATATCATCTTGTCTTCTACTTTCTAGTGATCGTTCTGAACCAGCAACTGGAACATCGAAAGCAGTATGTAAAACAAAAATACAATCTGAACCTTTTATTGATTTTACATCTAAGTTGCTATTTTTAAATGATAGTCGTTAGACAATAATGTTAATTAATTTTAAAACAGTTTTCAAAACAATACATAAATTTAAATATGCCATGATGCACACTTATCAGGGTATGTTCTGTAATACCTACTAAAATGCATTCGTATTTTAAAATACTGATGGATAATATTTAGAAATAATTACCCATGTCTGCACATATTATCTGTATGTGTGACCTGATAATGGTGCAAAATAATGCACTGTATTTCACATTGAAAATGCTAGTTAATTTCTGTATGACTTGATGTTGTACAGATCAGTGTATGATAATTTTCAGAGTTTGTGGTTCAACAGTTTGCTTTGGTGAACATGAAAGTGTTCATGTGATGTCTGTCTTTATTTAGTATTACATGTGTATAGGCTATTATGTGCATTCTGTTTATTCAAATAAAGAATGTTTGAAGTGTATTATCTTCCATTTCACATTGTATCACTCAACGTTTTATGATTTAATAGGTATGTTTTTAATGGTGAAACAGGTTTCTTTACACTATGATAAGGCACATGGAAAAAACCACATTAGACTTTTTACTTGACCAGTACAAAGTAGATGTTGAATTACAATTTTAACACTTTATTCCTTAAAATTCTATTTTCATAACAGCACATGTTTTGAACTTTGAGCTCAAACAAATGAAAATTTGACAAGTCTCATTCAATAACAAATAATCAACATATTTTTGTTTTGCCCTGTCTGGGTACAGAACTTTTGCAGATACATACAAATCATTCAGCTTTGTGGTGCTACTAAAACTAAATTGGTATTTTTTTCTGTAACGGTAATAAAAAAAATACCATATATACATGATTTGTCACTTGCACATCATACAAATCCCCTGACTTAAAAACATCCAAGCTTAATTCTGCCTGTTTTGTCTGTTTGTGTTACCAGTGAAGTAAAATTTCAATCCTGTTTTGTTTGAGCCTTTTAAAAATCCCTAAAATAAACTTTCTCGTGTTGTAAAAGTTTTTGCTTATGATGCACGTTGTGAATTTGATTGTTAATAGGAATAGCTATAACTACACTATCAAAATTGAAAATCAAACCAAACATTTAGTTTCATTTGGAATCTTGAAAAATAGCTTAGAATCCTTTTATATTCAGTTTTCCGAACTCCTGTGAATTACTTCTGTGGCTTTGCACTACATTCCTGAAAGTTTCAACTTGTCCTGAAAGAGGCTGTTGAAAAAGCTAGCGTCCAACTTGTATCTTGATTAAATCAAGTACATGTGTGGTTTACAGTAAAAATTGTTCTTTTTATTTCAGCCCAGGTAAATTGTAGGTTGTGTATAAAGAATTAGACCTGTTTTTAATCTGTGCATTACTTTGCTTAGAGCTCGTGCATAAGATTTCAAAGAAAGCCTTCAAGTTGTTTCAATCTTTTTAAAATCCACTAAATTTCAGAGAAACTTAAGATCATGCAACTGATTTTTCTTTCTTTTTGTAAACTAAAATGTCTAGTTCTCTAAGTACTTGCCTCCTGCTTAAGGACAGACTTTTAAGTATTTTTCTTGTAGACACTAAGCACTTTTGCAGCACAGGGTAGAATGTATTGCACCCATTTTCAAGTTCCATACGCCTTGCACTGAGATTTCAGAGCTCATATGAATTTTAGATTTCTCCGCATTCTCTGGTATAGTTGAGCAATGTTTTTACACCACGTTTTCTACCCACATTATGGTATTAACCAAACTGTTAAATTTCACCATGCATACCTTTTTATAATCAAGAAAGTAAACACCTTTGAGTTATAGAAGCAGGCAGAATCTAATCCATTCAGCAGTCTTTTATCCACTGACTACATAAACAAATGAAGGACTCATTTTCCTGCATTCCAGGCATGAATAGAAAAATGCACTGACTAGTAGTGTAGTATTCAGTCTTTCCACTACAAAAAAAGTAGTACTGTCAGTTATGAAAAGTAAGTATATTCTTTATACATCTTCACAAAATGAAATAATATACTAGCATTGACATTATTTCAGTTGTCAAATCTGCAACTGCTTCACCAGAGTTTGTTTTGAAGTGGACTAGCTGTTGACCATCCAGCAATTTTTCAACAACATCCCACAAACAACACTGAGATAAACGAACAGAAGTTTTTTTTGTTTATTGATTAAAGGAGGAATGTTTAAGATCTGAGAGCTGCTTGTATTTAGTTATGTTCTGCAATCTTAAACATTTTCTTAAACCGGTGGAGCAAGTAAATGACTGGGCTTCAGTGTCTTATCCGATGGATAAGACCTGAAAAATCTGGTTAACTGAGCTGTCTTGCTGAAAGACCAACTGTTCATTTTTAACAATATTGTCACAATGCAAAAAAGGATGCAGAAAGAAGCATTGAGCCGATTGCATTGAACATCCGATGTTGCAGGCTTCTCTGGTGTTTGGCTTGGATCACTGAGGAATAGTAATGTTCTTGGTGGTCTTGAGTTTGGAACATTGGTTCCAGTTTGTTGTATCTTTTGGGACCTCTTGAGAAAAAAGGGGAGAGCGATTCGACTGAGCTGTAATCACTGGAGTCTAGAAGGATGAAAGAGGATCTGATGGAAGTGTATAAAATTCTAACATGACTAGACAGACTAGGTGAAAAGAGAATGTTTCCCCTGTTCAGGGTGTCCAGATGCCAGGGTCACAACCTTGGGTTATAGGGTACGCCACTTAACTGAGATGAAAAATTTCTTCACTGAGTAGTGAACCTGTGGAATTCTCTAGCACGGTTGTGGAGGCCAAGTCACTGAACATAATGAAGATTTTGTTTAAATATCAAAGGCATCAAAGATTATGCGGATAAAGCAGGATTACAGCATTGAGATAGAAGATCAGCCATGATCCAAGTGGAAATTTGGTGCTCAAATGTTGATCAGATTATTTAAATAAGTGTAGATTAGTAAATTTCATAAATCTTACAAGTCTAAGATGACATCAGATTTGCATACAGAAAGGCATTGTCTTTTTGAAAGAAAAGATTGACCATTGAGACTAGTTTGCACTGGGGGAGCTCTTGTACTTAGATTAATCTATCAGGGTGACAACATCTATACAGTGGTTGAAATCTTTCATTACAAGTTAACATTTTCCATGATCTTGCCCTTGCACCACCACAGTTGGCAAATTTCTTAGGTGCACTTGACAAATTATTTCTTGCAAAGGAACATCATGTTTAAACTTGTAATTTATAAAGCAAAGCAAGCCCTCAGTAAAGAAGAAAAGTTAACCAGTAAATAATTAACTTCTTACCACTTTCTAGCAGTAAGGTATAAACGGTATGCTTAGTGTTTCCCTAAGATGGAAGCTCTAATTTTTCTTCATTTATGGACATGCCCAGGCTTTACTTGGCTTTTATATATCAGCATTTGCCATGGTAAAGTTCAGTAGCCATCACTCAGCAACGTTCGCTTCATTTGCCATGTATTTGTGCTACTGTTTTCCACTTTGTCTTGATCTGTTTCTCTGTTCACATATTCTGCAGTTTTTTGAATTCATAGTTTTCCTTCATTCTGTTTTATCAAGTTTTATCCTTTTGCTCACGGAGGCAGCAGGGGAAGGCAAGAGAAAGAGGTCACAGACCTAGTTGCCAGACTGCAGGGAAAGCTCGGCGAGGTCAGTGTATAGTGGTGGTAATAGAATATTCAAATATATAAAGTGGGATGTTTGGTGCAAAAGGAGGAGGGAGATGAGTTTCATTCAAAGGAGTTGTTTTCAACTCCTTATTTAAAATCTGATCTATTTAAAATCCTGATTTTCTTCATAGCATATTCAACTATTAACCCTTACTGCCTGTTTTGTTATGTAATGTTCAGTTTGATTGCTACATCCTGCCAACTTCAAGCTTTTTTACATCCTGAAGCTAAGAATTTGTGAATATTGTATTTTCTTAAAGATATGGAGAAATTAACTTCAGGGAAAGGAACTTGGCACTTTAGTTTTGCCCTTAAAGTATTTTGTTACCTGTCCCAAGCTACTGTTTGGTTTGACCTTTTTTTTTTGTTGATTGTAAGGAAGTACAAAAGAGTACCCTGGATTCCATTTTTAAGGAGATGGTCTGCCTGTAATTAGTGTTTTATCTACACTTGTATAACTGGCAGGCACGTCAGCCATTAATGTTGGGCGCAAAACTCCCATCTCAGCAGTTAATGCAGAACCTCCTGCTTTGTTTTAATGTATGGCAGTGCTATTAATCATGTATTAACTTGTTGGAATCTGAAGGTTCCCATGTTTAGAAATGATATATTATCTGTAATTTGTTAACTGTTCAGTTACTGCACAAATGTGGAGCTCCTCAATTTCAATAAATTCACTTAAGAATCTAATTATGAAGTAGTGTAGTCAATGATGTGTGCTTAAATGCAAGATCCAGCTTGCACACAAGCAGTTCTAAAAAAAATTGTCAAAAGGGTAACTTAGTAACCAAATGTTTATGGTATTGATCATAGGGTGATGCTGGCAAGTGTGCGAGTAAAATATTCTGCTCTTGCATGGTACTATGAGAGATTTTACATTCATTGCAATACAAACATCTTGTACATACACTTTGAACAGAATTCTGCAGGTTTTTTTGTTTATCCCAAATCATTAGACTTCAAAATTTTGGTTTCAGTTTTTCACGCTGTTGATTTTTGCAGAGCATTAGGTCTACCTGTTGATCTTTAAATTGAAGCACAAAGCCATTCTTGTCAGTTATTATAAGGCGTGCAGAACATTGAATCGTTGCACTTGGTGATAGAGGAAACTTACTCATATTGGCATCTATTTGAAATAGAGACTGTGCAGCTGGCAAAATTGATTCACGTGATTAAATGACTGGATTGATATTGAGATGATACTGTAAATGGATCAATGTATTTTTAGAAAGCATTAGAAATGGAAACTTTAGACAACTATGCAAAAGCTGTCCAATCCCTGCTTCAAAACAGGTTTTAAATTGAATGTTCTAAATTTGAGATGCTTGATTGCTCGTCTTGGAGCTGATGCCTTGATAACACGCCAGTTGTTTTGGCACTTCGCAATCTAATCTAAGAGCCATTGTTTAACAGATTTATGCTAGCTGCCACTGTTCCCTTGTCATTGCATTCCATATCCACAATACATGATGGCATTTAAGCGATAGAATACTGCAGAATTTTTAGTAAGTCAGCCCTTCAAATTACCAGAAATTTCCATTTTTGGTATCGAGATGAAAGTACACTACTTATGGGTTGTAGTTTTGCTGCAGCCTTGTACAATTTTCCAAGCCAGTCAGCTGTAACCATCATCCACATTGAGTAGTTTGCACATAACGGCTGCTGGTAGAAAAGTGATTGCACTTAGATGCTGTATGAGCTTTGTATAGCTCAGCAAGACTTTGTTTACTGGAGTTGTTGATTTGCTTTTTATTGAAAAGGTTGGATAGCAATCTTGAATCAAAAGTGTGGGCGAATTCTTAATCTCGCGCATCAATCAAAAATTGCCAGCTGCAGAATAACGTGGTCCCATTGTATCCTTGTGATCCTCAAGTCACTGTAGCAACAGCAGTATAACTGTTTTTGTTGAAAGCATCCAAAAAATTAATTTTTTGAAGTTTGGCTGTTTGAATTGGATCACCTGTTGACTGTTTTATTTGAGTCACTGATGTTGAAACTCTCCCCACTTTTGTAGTGAGACTTCTTGTTGATTGGCCCATTCTGATTGAGCAATTTCTTGAAATGAGCGGTTGTTTTTTGTGATTACTCTAGCTTGCTCAGCAGACTGTTCTGAAAACCTGTTTTCTTTTATCCCAAGCTGTCCTGTTGGCTAAATTTGTTCTCCTGAGCATTACACAATTGCAGGAATAGGTTGTGTACTGCCTGCCCACTGGTAGCAATAAGCCAAGGAATACAAAAATGCTTAAAATGTGAGCCTTTTTTTAGCTAAATAAAGCTTACTGTATCTGTGGGGTGGGCTAGTACCCAAGAACAGTTTTGTAGTTTCCTCTGCACGGCCATTCAGTGGCTATGTAGCTAACTTAGGCAAAAATCATCAAAGCTTCAACCTTGTTGACTTTTAACATTTGGTACTAAACTACTTTGTTAGAGGCTTGGATAATCGTCAAACTGGTATTATAAGCAAGGTTGTAAAAGCAGCTTTTGTACACCACAAGTTGAATTTGGCCATAAGCAAGTTTAAAAGTTGCTTCAAGTATTTTGTTTTCTTCTGGAAACAAGGTTTCCGAATTTAAATGAAATATTTATTCTTCAGAATATCAGTTTACTTTCACATTTCTCTTTGGAAAAATGAATACAGTACTTAGGCAAAAATAGAAAAAAATCATAGTTTTGATGTCAGGAGAATCTCAGCCAACCATTGTAAAATTTGTATTTATTGATATTGAACCCTTATAGTTTAGGTATACTAATACCCCTTTTGCTTAGTTTAGTTCACCTAATTTTTTTTTAAATGTTTGGTCTGATTCTTTATTATCCATTTGTGGGATGTGAGCATTGCTGGCTGACCAGCATTTATTGCCATACCTTGTTGCCCTTGAGCAGATATTGGTGAACTGTCATCTTAAACTGCTGCAGTGCACTTGCTGTGGGTTGATCCACAGTGCCATTAGGGAACGAATTCCAGGATATTGACCAAGTAGTAGTGAGGAACAGCAATGTATTTCCAAGTCAGTGTGTGGCCTGGAGGAGAACTTGCAGGTGGTGGTGTCCCCACATATCTGCTGCCCTTGTCCTTCTAGATGGAAGTGGGCATAGGTTTGGAAGGTGCTGTCTGAGAATCTTTGGTGAATTTCTGCAACATATCTGATAGTACCCTTTGCTGCTACTGACCGCTGGCAGTGCAGAGTGTGGATGCTTTGAATGTAGTGCCACTGTGGTGTGCTGCTTTGTCCTGGATGGTGTTGGTGCTGCACCCATCCACGCAAGTGGGGAATATTCCGTCACACTCCTGACATGTGTCTTGTAGATGGAGAGGCTTTGGGGACTAAGAAGGTGAGTTACTCACTATAGCATTCCTAGGATGTGGGCATCACTAGCTAGTTCAGAGATAGTAGGAACTGCCAATGCTGGAGTCTGAGATAACATAGTGTGGAGCTGGAGGAACACAGCAGGCCAGGCAGCATCAGAGGAGCAGGAAAGCTAATATTTCGGGTCGGGACCCTGCTTCAGAAACCTTTTCAACTTGTAGGTGAAATGCGCTGCCATTGTGTTAGTGGTGGAAGAAGTGAAAATAATTTTAATCACTTGGTTTGGATATTATGCCACCTTGAATCTAGACTTCTGACCAGGAAGTAAGGACACCCATTGTGTCAAAAGAGCCTTATGTAATGTTGAAGGTTCCTGCGTTGTACGCGAACTGAGGTTACTGACCTCCAATAATGACAACCATCTTTTTTGCACTAGGTAGTGCTCCAACCATTCTAGGATTTTCCCTCTGATTCTCATTGGCGTTAGCTTTGCAGAACTGGAGTCATTCCACATCAAATGTGATTAACTCCCAATTCCTAAGTGCACTCCATTGTAGTTGTAAACTTATTTCCTGCATCAGCTATTCCTGCATCCTTTTTGGAAAGAGTGCTGGTTTTGTTTTATGAACTCATGTCTCTGTGCTATATTTTTGATGGCAGTTTAAACTTTTTCATTTATTATTGAAATAAATTTGCTGTATCTGATATTGACATTCAAGTTGCTTTTATAATCATGCTTACAATGTCCCTGACAGACCCGAATACACACTTCATGCAGCTAGACAAGACCTGAGAGTAAATAATTTGGGATCGCATACTCAGACCAGTGTTATTCCTGTCAGCTCATGTTGCTACTTAAGAAACTTCCAAAAAAATTCTAGATTGCAGCGGGCTGCACAAATTTTGTGTCTTAGAATCCAGTGGTGCTAGCTTGGGTAGCTGATTGGGTGGCAATGGCTCAATTAAACCAACTTGTTGGAAAGGAAAAGGTCTCCTTTAATACGTTATTTGAAAGCCTTAAATGTCCTCGCATTTCAAATTAATTTTTCTGCAGGCAAACTGCTGGTATTTTTGCTTGCTAAATCTAGACCACAAAACACCATTTTTATTGAATTCAACAATGCTTCTTGATGCTGTAGTTAAGTACAGTCGAGTTTTATTAATGCTAATTTACTACATTGTTACTAATGTTGGAAGGAATACTATTCAGAAACCAAGTCTTCTGGTAATATTTTAAACACTTCAGGTTTGTGATGAGCAGCAATTTTATCTGTTTAGAGTTTGGATTGTGTTCTGCAGTGATGGAAGGGATGTCACATTTGGTTGATTTTGATTGATTAACTGAGAATGGAATGCATTTTATGTCACATTAACACCATGCACTCCCAATAGAGTTTGGAGTGTAGATTAGATATATAGTAAAACATGCTCTGCACTGTCTCAGCAAGATGCTTAGTGTTTGCTGTTACTTACAGGAGTGTCAGTGCTTGCTCTGTATATCTCTAACCTTGGACAGCCACATGTATTTGGAAATGGTGGTACTGAAATTTGAAAAACCATTGAGGATATTTGACCTATTTTATTGTAATTGTGTAAGTTGTTCCTAATTAGAGTCATTGGCCAATCTGAGGAATAACAAAGTTCAAATTTAGTACCACTGCTTCTGAAGACTTGGAACACTTTGAGTTGTTGCGGTCTTACGTTAGCAGATCTATGCTTTACTTTTGTCTTCAAATATCGTGAATAAGATGTTAAATTAAGCCTTTAAAGAGAAATAATCCAAGCCCAATAAGGCGCATTTACAGCATCTAAATATTAAACCTATTTTTATTCAACTGAGAGGCATTCATCTGGTATTCCTGTATATGTCTCCTTTTATTATTTATCAGTCAACTTTGACATGGGAGTTGTGCTTTTGTGAATACCAAGATCCAACAGCAAGTTAATCAGCTGTCACTGTTCCTCTCAGTAAACTGAATTGAACAGAAGGGAATCTAAATAATAATTCACCCTGGATCATTTTGCAGTGTGTATTTGTTTCTTATATGTGTTTACAAGTAAGTGATTGATTAATTGCAGAACTGGTTTTAATTGCTTTGTAGAAGTGTTTTTTGGGAAGTGGAAAAAAAATTGCTTTTGCCATACCTCGCATTTGCCACATCTTAAAAACTTATGTTGGATTTATTCACAGGGTGAATTTTTACCCAGAATCATGGAATTCTGCAACACTAAAACTAGCCATGTTGACACATTTCTGTGCAGTATTTCTCAACATGAGGCACCTTGTTCATTTCCACTTTATTCGCTCAGCAGATCTTTTAAGCAACTACCTGAAGCCTCCTCAAGAAGAATTTAGGTTTTCCGTTGCCGCACTGATTGATGGCAAAATATTGCACATTGTACCTCCTCATAATTTTTTTGACTACTTGTGATACAAATTTTATCCCCCTCGTTACCACCAATTGCCTTAAATATATGGGAACAGTGAGTCACTGGACTTGCATGAGAGCAAAATTCAACCATTTGGCTCCTCTAGCTGCCTGTACCATTGAGATCATGGTTGATCTGTCTTTTCAAGTTCCACAGTCTCATCTAACCTTTTTTATTTCCCTTTCCTTGCAAGGATTTATCTTTCTCTGCCTTAGGCAGAGACTTCCAAAGTTGCACACCCATCAGCAATTTCTTCTTGTCTGTCCCAAAAGAGCAGCTCCTAGTTATAAAACGATGCCCCTTAGTTCTGGCCTTGCAAGAGAGAACTTCCTTTCCATGTTCACTTTGTCAAGACCACTGTTATTATACACGTCAAAAGAGTCACCCCTCGTTCTTTTCAACTTCAGTGAAAACAGCCCAGCCTATCCAACCTATCCTGTTAAGTCAACCCACACCATTCAGTTATCAATCTAGTAAGCCTGATCTGAACTGCCTCAAATATATTTGTATCTTGATTATTCATTCTCTAGCAATATTCTACCAAATTCTCCTTTTAAATTGCTGAGGTCTAGTGACAAAAAATTGCCTTCCGTTTCTCCAGTGTAACTGAGTAACACTCTGATGCATCTTCATTGTTAACCCATACTGTTTTTTGAACATCTTTATGATATTAAGATATCCAAAACTGGTTAAACAACGTAAAGAACTGTTCTTTGGCCCCGAGATAGTAGGAACTGCCCTACTGCCTCGTTGAAGAAATATTCAGGTGGGGGCAGTTTGGATAAATTTCATGTAAGAGATGTGTGCAAATTAATGGCAAAGTAAATTTAAAGTTTATTTGTGACCCATAACTCTCTCTATGTACCTTTTTATGGTTATCAAAGGCCAAAACCTTCCAGTTGCAGGAATTAACAAGGCATTGATGGAAACTTAGTTAAAGTGGAAATGTTTCTAGTTTAAGGCCATCTTGGAATTTATACATTTAAATGTTAGAATTGCAAGTTGCTTTGAGTTTTTGCTTATTCCCATTTAGTCCATTTAACACACTTGATTATTAGCAAACCAGCATATATGTTGCTATATGTTGGAGTTAGATCATAATGTAGAAAGCACAGAAAACGAAGCATTTTCTCAAAATAAATCCTGTTTTTAAAAAGCTTCCTGGGTCATAAATAGAATATAAATTGTGGAGATTGGCCCATGCTTCCTTCCCATAATGAAGAAATCTTCCAATACGTGTGTATCCTGCCAACTTAGATGACAATAGTGGCAGCACAAGGTACACATTTGGCTTAGTGGCTGCAAAATACATGGTGAATGGTTTGATGAGCAGAAGGAAGGCAACACTAGATATATATTCATGACTTAGGCTTGGGTGTAGAGCATATAATTTCAGAATTTGCAGAGACGCACAACTTGTAGATATTATGAATTGAGGAGGATAGTGACAAGACTTCAAGAGAACGGAGCCCAGCTGCTTGGAATGAATGGGTAGGTAGCAGATGAAATTTATTAGAGATGTGTGAATTTTGATCAGAAGAATGACAATGTGAAATGATCACAGTTCTGAAGGGATGCAGGAACACAGTTTGAGAAAATGTGCCCACATCTTTGAAATTTCCAGAACAGATTGAAAAATATATCTGGGATCCTAGAATTTTTCACAAAGACAGTAGAATAAGCAAGAAAGCATTGGTGGGACTTTAAAAATGACTGATTTAACCTTAACTGGTGTATTATGTCCAACTTTGGGTTAGTAGACATTGGAAAGGATTTTGAAGGCATTGGAATGGGTGTTTTCAAAAAGAAAAGAACATCTGTGAAATGGTTCCAGGGATGGGAGACTTCAGTTATGTGAACAGATTGGAGAAGCTTGGGTTGCTCCCCTTTGGAGAGAAGGTTGAGAGGAGTTTTGATAAGAGTTGTTCAGAATCATTGGGAGTCCAGACACTGAGCAAGTGTTAACATTGGTGAAAGGGTCAAGAGCCAGAGGACAATGTAAACTTAGTGGCCAAAAAAAAAGCAATGGCAACATGAGGAAAATCATCCTTGCACAATGAGTAGTTAGGGTCTGAAATACACTGCTTAAGTCTGCTGGAAGCACGTTCAAGTTTGATTTCCTCCCCGCACAAATGGAAATTAGATAAGGAGTACCAAAAGAAAAGATTGGCAGCAAAATGGGTGAAGTGTGAAGAAATGGGACAAGCCAAGTTGCAATTTGAGAACCAGCATGGATGTGAGGGGTCCAATGATCTCCTATGTTGACTGTTTTTATTGTAGAAACTGCATATTTCAATCGCTGTACTGTCCTGCCAGGGGTTGCACTGCAGCATATTAGTTTTGTTATCGCAGCTCCTCTGCCAATACAGTAGGTAGTCCAACCGTTTCTGCTTTGCAAATGACACAAAGCTGTTCTGCAGTTTGTAAAATCCAAACATTTTATAAAACTAAGAGTAGAATATGACTTCAAAATGGGTTCTGCATTTCAAGTGTGTCGGAATCTAATTATTCGACTTTCAATCTCTTGTCCCAGCTCCCCCCAGAACGAGATTCCATGTGAACTTAATTTTGTGTGTGCAATTCCACAATAGGGTATAATGCATGTCACGTTAATTACACCTTTCTGCCAGTGTTGCTGCAGAAGGATCTTGTGCCTCCCAGGTTCCTCATCCAGGTGTAACTAATTCTAACCTTTAAAGGATATTTTTCTAATTAACCAGTTCAGAGTGTTACTGTACACCTCTGGACTTCACCCGGGGAATCCTGGTCCAGAGGTAGGGGCACAGCCCCTGTGCTGCAAGCATCCAGTTCTAAATTTTTACTATTTTGTAGATTTCCCTGTTTCACTATTCTGTATCACATCAAATAAATAAGGACAGGGTGCATGAAGGGGGTAAACTAAATCCGGTCGATGTGGTCTAATTGATTTTCCCCTGTAATTCCACTTTCACGTGATGATTTTATATTCTGCTTTGATTCCCTGTTTGTGGTGCTGCTGATCTTGTTTTTGAATCCCAGTTCATGATGTAGTCACATGCTGCAGTAGGTAATACCCTAACAACTTCTGTCTTGGTCCAGAATTAGTGCTGTCACTCTGAAAGAACATGATTGATTTTAAGAATACCCATTATTGTCCATTCCAGAGAAGGTAATTTGGAGGCTGACTGTTGCTGCTGATGCAGTTAAAGGACATGTTGTTTCCTCATTCTGTGATTCTGAGATAATTGGTGAACCACACCACTGGACTTCAGTTGTACAATTCAACACAAGTCAGAAATGCATTATACCAGGAACTGAGCAATGGAGTAGCAGCACAAAATGTATATATACCAGACAATGCATATAGATTTTATTCTTTAATTTCAGACATCAACTGATTATTGTTTTCATATGAAGTACAGTGTTTCATGGCAAAAACAGTTTCTCACTATTTGAAATGAAATGGAAATAACGAATGGAAGTAGAGTGCATTAAGAACAACTGCCATCCTTGCAGGCAATATACTTGTATACCATCTCCCACTACCAATAAAGGCTTGTATGAATGGATTATTTGGGATTATTGTGCCTATCTTGTTTCAGCCTGTCTTTTTTTGTGATCTGCCTTTTAAATGAGAAGAAGTCAGCTTGCATGTATGTACTTACTCTATAGGTTGGACTTGATGTCTCCATCACATTGAAATATACAAATAGGAAATTGTCTGGATTAAAGTCATGATCCCAGTTATGCTTTTAATCACTGGAGTGCAGTTTTGGATCTTGCTTTATTTTGAACCCCATTGTCATCACTACATCCTTAGCAGCTCAAAGCATTGTAAGGGTTTCTTTCTGTGCTGTATGACTGTGACCTTAATTGAAGCTGACACTTTGCTTCACTCTCCAATTGCAACCTATTCACTGCCCTGCCTGTCCCTCCATCAGCACAATTCTCTTTGGAAAGTATATTCACCTTAGTACAAGATTCATTTTTTTTCCCTCTCCCTCGCCCTCTCTCTTCCCCCTCCCCTGTCTCACCACTTCATATTTTTCTGCAAAATATTTAAATCCTTTTGTTAAATGTGTAGCAGCTGTATGCAAAGTCACTTCTGCTTTAGAGTTAAGCTCATACTGTGTTATTCATCTGTTCATCTATTAAAATGTAGTCTGATTACAAAAGTTGTATTTAAGAGCGTTTCATTATAGTGTGAACTTTTTTCTTAACTTCCTCCCACCCCCTCCCCCCCAACACACAGACTCAATGCATGTACACTAACTGTGCGTATTCTGAAAGAATGTTTACTCAGGTGAGTTTGTTACTAAAATGTGAGAGTAATGACCAGACTGTCTATTTGGGTTTGAAATATGTGCCTTATCATGGTTTAAATGTGAATGTCTGTATTTAATTCTTCCATTAACAGATTGATGACTCTGGAACATCTATCTCTCTGGCCCAGCTTACAAAGGTAGAAAATGTTTCTTTTTTGCTGTTAGTGGTGTTTTTCTTTCCCTGCAAATTCAATTCATTACAGAGTTTTTAATTGTACTAAATGTTGCACTAATCTGTAATTGTCCCATGCATTATCTAATGCAAATTTACATTAATACATTGTATATTTTGCGTAATGTTACATATATTCAAATGCATTTATATTGTCATTAAAAGTATTGTATTTTATGTGTAAATGTTAGTAACGTGAAACATTAATACATACTGAATATCCTGTAAAGAGTGAGTGATATGGGGAAGATGGAAGGGGAGTCCCTCGACAGCCTCACCTAGCTACCATAATGCTCGTCTATCTCAGTCAGCCTTGAAAATACAGCAAGATAAAACCATAGCTATTTGTCTTTTTTAAATCTGGGATGTAGTGAATGCCGGATGGGTTATTTCACCTCTGATGGCTTTGAACATCTCTCCAATAAAGAACGTGGTAGAAGAATGAAAAGCCCCAGATCACTGGATACCGTGATTGGTACGAAGGTTCTCGCCTTTAGCACCATCAAATCAGTGTATCGCTGTAAGCAAAAAGACTGTTATCTCAGCAATTCAGCCAGGAAATAAAAACTACCTCTGTTGTTATTGAAACTATAAATTTTGTGTGTAAGTTTTTCCTGAATTTTATAGCAATGTCTACAATTGAATAACCGTGAATTGAATAAGTGTATGCCAATCCCCTATGTTGTATTGACCCATGCATAGCTTAGCATTGACCATGTAAATGTAAACCGTTAAACACAATAAACTATGTTCTCTAAGACCATATGTTGGAAAGGGTCTATATGGGTGGTCATTTGTTTGAACGCAGACTGTAAATCAATGTGATTTTTTTTTGTTGTTTTTGTGTCTTGGCTGATCCCTAGGGAGAGACAAGTGTTAGTCATGTTAGTGGATGCTTTTGCCATGAGGGGGAAAAGATGCAGAAACCAGTTACCACTCAATATATTTACATTACCTAAGCTTACTGTACTTGCCCTCCTGTTTCATGGATTTCACTAGACCACCTGAGTTCAAACCCAGAGTTACACTGTGCACAGGAAATGCATCTTCATTTTAGGGATAGAAAATCTGCGGAACCCCACATGCATTCACTGGTATCTGCTGTTGATCATTTGTAGTCTCTTTTAATCTAATGTGAAAAGCTGTTTGGGTTCAAAAAAATCTGTTTTGAGTGAGTGGTACAGTTAAACCTTGATGGGATCAACCTCTATTTGCTGCGTCATGGAATGAAAGCTAAATTACTGAGTAGCCCTTAAATAATGGGTAAACAATGAGATTTTGTCATCTGATGAACTCTTAAGTTGCACTCATGACGTGGATTTAAATGTTCCAGTTTGCATCTTGTTGAGTGACATTTGAGCACTGAGGTTTGTTCATCCATTGAAATGTAGTGGTTTCTTTGTGTAGCCTTCTGTATTCCCAGTGATTTGATCCTAATTATTTGTGACATACTTAAATGCAGTTTGTAAATTCTGTTTGAAATAGAGGTTGCTTTAGAATATATTTTCATTCTCAACTTCAGAAGTCAGACGATCTAATGGGACAGGTCACAGTGAATGTTCAACAACTTGTGACCTCCCTCTTTTTCACTTATGTATCGGCATTCCATATGGATATATGGATATCTTGTTCGTTCATCCATCTGCATGGGTGGTTTTTGTACTGCATGGAAGAAAAAGAATATTTCCTCTTCACCAGTAGAGGTGATGCATTGAAATCTGCTGTACTTACAAAGAAGGCATTTCCTAGCTGCAACTCATACTTCTACCTATTCACTCTTCCAGTGGGTTCCATCAAATTCCAAGGACTAGCCACAAAGAAGAGGTTCAAAACTGACCAGTGTTTCTCAAGAACTGTAATTTCGCTAGTAGCAAAACTGACTCCACAATATTCAGAGTTGATATCAAATACAAATACTTCAATATAAATCTAAATGTCATATGGTAGGAAGGTTTCCTCAATCCAGATTATTTCCAATTTGCTTAATTGGCTGATATCAAGGAAGTTGTTCAAATGATGCTATGACTATTTGGCAAGCACTTGAACAAAATAATCTTGGTATCGCGGCCGGGTATCCAGTCCATAGTATCCGACTTAGAGAAGTTTAAATTTGCTGCACGAAGGTCCAGAAGCTTGCTTCTATGAAGGTAAGTGCTGCAGTATAGCAGCATTTGAGTCCTGCCTGGGAAAGCTTCAGTCATTCAGCTGGAAAACTAGACTTCCTAACTGAAGCATATGATGTGAAATACACAAGATGATAACGCAAAAGAATCCATGGTTTGTCTGTATATCAAGTTGTGTATGCAGGCTGTTTGAGCCATTGGAAGATGAAGATAATTGCATATCTTCATCACTTCATACCCTTTAAATTATTTGCTGCATGCACAGAACACCAGTTATTGACTCTTGACTGAAATTCCTGAACTTATGATTTCTGAATTTCATCTCTCCCTATCACTTAATGATCACTCTGAATTTGAAATCGTATTTCATTCGTGAGGCTTTGAGAAGATCTTGATTACAACTTGGAGTGCAATATTTAGAAGTCTTGAAATTGGATCAGCCCATGTTAATTTCTCACCCATCTCCATTTGTGTGGCACATATATTCTGCTGTGTTATCTAGCCAGAAGGGAAAAGGTTCTTGTTTTCCTTCCTCTCCAAAATCAATAATTTACAATATTCATTCTTGGGTCTATTGAGCTCCCCATTCCTTGCATAAATTTTCCCATCATATTCCAAATTCCAACTACTAAACCCTGTCAGCTTACCTATCAGCTGACGACTACAGGTGTAATTTCTGTGTTGGATTCTGCATCGATAGCTTTAGCTTAGAATAAAACTTGTTCCTGATGCTCAATATTTGAGTAGATTGGATTCCCTGCTAAAAGTCATGGATTTTAAGCTCCCTGCTTGTTTACACAAAGACGACTCAAAGTGATCTGGGAATGCTCCCTGAATTGGGTAGTGTAGGAATGAAAATCTAAATGACAGGATTGGTTTAAGATTTTGTTTTACTGTCTGGAATGATTTGAAGAATCTGAAATATTGCAACGAAAGGTGAGAATACGAGTTCCTTGGCACTAGCAAAATAAAAACAGGCCCACTTTCAGGTAATTATTACGTAGAGAGAATTTCTGTTCACAATTGAAATTGTTTTTTTCCATCTGCAGTACCCAGAATAGTGAGTCTTCTGATTTGTGTCAACCAGTTAACTATACTGCTGTTTGGTGCAAAATTGTTTTACTTGAATATTGCTACCATTCAGCATCTTAAAAGTATGATTTATTTGAGCAATCTCTGCTTCTGAGGTGGATTCTGAAATTAGGACATGTAAATGTAGAACTTTGAGGTAATTGCCACAATCATTGGTGGTTGAGTTGTTGGGTTATCCAGCTTACTGGTCTGGATAATGAAGGGATATTCAGGAGAAACTCCAATTTTATAGTTTCGGATAACTAAGTTTAAAAATTGGACAGTTGAGTGTCTTCTCCAAGTTAGTAGGGTGGTTGTTAGAATGAAGTCGGGGAATCGCCAAGTTATGATACAGGACAGGGAAACCATTCAAATCGCAGAGTTGGGGAATTTTGTTCTAATGTGAGTAATCGTTGTCAAGAGTTTATATCAAGGCTGGATTCTGTTATGGGGAGGATAGCAGTTGTGGTTGAGCATTTGCCTGAAATGTTAAGAGTTGTGGTTAGCTGATGACAATACTTTACTTCAGTTTGTTCACTTATGACGATGCAGGTGTTATCTGCCTATTATAAAGGGGGTACTGTGCTTAGTTGAGAGATTGCTATTTTACTGGGTATTACCTGAACTACAGCAAGTTATCCGTGTTAAGTTTTTCAGAATGAGGGAAACGCTGTCAGTTATGTGCCACTTGTCTGGGTGATTTTTTTGCTTTGGACAGGGCTTCAGTGTGTGTGCTGATTCTGAATGGATGATTAAAAAGTGGCAGTGTGATATGCCTAGAATTGCTTGCAGACCATCAACTACTATGATTGCATTAAAATAAATGCTAGTCCCATTTTAGATTTCGTCTGAAATCTCTCCATCGAACTGCATGATGGCAAGTCTGTGGAGCTCGACTGCATTAACACTTTTTTTGATCTTGTGCAACTATCTCTCATCAGTTTAGTTACAAATTGCAGTTTCACCTGGTGTTGAATATGTAGAAGCAGAAACACTCAATATTTTTTAAAGTACTTGGATGTTTGCCTAAAGTACCATAATGTGCAAGATTCCTGATCAAGGTCTGACAGTTAGCTCCTTGTCAGCTGGTACACAGACGATGGGCTAATTGGCCTCCCTCAGTGTTTTAAATTTTCTGATTCTACTTTATAATGTGGCCCAGTTGAGGGCCATGCGCTTGCAGAATAGTAAACCCAGTGCAAAGTCTTCATCCCTTTATGTAATGTTATACACTGCAGTTAATTTTAATTACATGTTTTTAAGAACCTGGTACTTATTTCAAGTCTAATTAACTTGATGTAAGCAGGCCTTGAAAATAAGCACATTCTATTATGTCTAAGTTCAGATTTTGAAGAGTTAATTTCTAATTAAAATGTCTAAATACTAAATGAAATTATAAATTTAGAAATTAAATGATCACCCACACAAGCAGAATTTAGATGGATTCAACTATGAATTTCCAATGAAATGTCAGCAAAGTTGATCATACCAAGTGTTTTACTGTACGTGCATGTGCTGTGCTGCTAGTGTTTGAGAGAGTGTAAATTGTGTGGAATAGAACCCAAATGGCTAGAAATGCTTTTGTGGGAGCATTAAAAGAAATTCTCTGCTAGGTCTTTAATACTGGGACTGTCAGGATAGTTAGAGGTGTTACTTGTAAATTCGATGGTACGTAAGATTCAAATTTAGAGGGTATATCCCTTGCCCAGCTTAAAATAGATTTTATAGATTTCTTCACAGCTGGCTTTGCTTTTAAGCAAGTTTACATTTTCCCCCCTCCATTTAATTCAAAATATTTCTTTTTATTTTTAACTCTGAGCTTTTTACACTGATTTTGCAAAAAGTAAACAATATCCTTATCCAGTTCATTCTGCTATTGACCATGCATTCATCATTTGGCTTTGTCTTCTGAGACAGTGCCAGATTCCATGAAACATGGTCGTCATTGTCATCTGGCTAACAGCTCATCCAAATAAGCTGCTTCAATAAAATCCTTCCTGGCTATCTTTGTTTAGCAAAAGAGCACCTTTATAAGAAAAAAGACAAATTTAATGTTAGTTAGGATTGTTTTTATATTTGAAACTTTTGAATGGTCAATGTCGACCTGGGAAAATCCTCCTTATATGATTGTGACATGGCATTAGGGATTTCACTGGAATCCTTGGAACATGAGCATTATAATGTCTTTGACTTCCTAAAAGTATTATAATTCGGCTACAGGTTACAGGCTTGAGGAACTCTTCCTCCCTCCCCAAGCTAATCGACAAGCTGGATGGAAGATGGTTTTATGTAAGTGGACTGACTTATTGATTATACAAGAGCAAAAGGGACAGGGCTTCCTGCTACTCTTTACAGGATGTGGACTGGAGTGTACAATAAATTCTAGGTGGTAATTATTTTTGTAACACACGCCTATCAAACAGACGGCCAATCTGGCTGAAGCTAACGCCTCAGAGGAAGATAAAATTAAGGCAATGATGACTCAGTCTGGTCAAGAATATGATCCAGTCAAGTAAGTTGTAAAAAAGATGCTATTCGGAATTTCAATTTGGTAAATATTCCACAAATGGAAGCTGATAATGTATATTAATGTTTTTACTTTTTTTTCCCCCTCTTAGTTACATGAAGAAACCTTTGGGTCCTCCTCCTCCAACATATACATGTTTTCGTTGTGGAAAACCAGGCCATTATATTAAAAACTGCCCAACAAATGGGGTGGGTAAACATGGTTCAACCTTTTATTTCATAGTAACAATACTTTGTGTTCCTCTTGAAGTGGAATCCTGAATCTCCCTGCTTTCCCTGGCCAATGGTTAAACTGGAGGATCGAGTTGGTTTGTTGGAAATGCTTCAGAAATGTATTTATAATTTTGTCCTCATGGCAGAACAATGTTGCTCGAGGCTGTACTTTTTTTGTATTGACCTAGCGTTTTCCATAATTGAGATTTCAATGCTTCTCTTTGTGGAGTCCACTGAAGCACTTGGTCATCTTCTGGTCATGTGACCAGATCTAATGATACTAGACAATTTCACTCCATCATCCATTATTTGCTGCTGAGATGGATGGATTTCCTGCTAACTATTCTTTGTAGAGTTTCATTATAACAGATTATGACATCAGAACAATTAAAATCCTGTTTTTGTCTCGGTATTAGGCTTGCCAGGCAAAGTGAAATCTGGTTCTGTGGAAAAATTGTTCCTTCGTTTTGTTCCAATATGGTTCTCAGTACTCTGCAATAAACTATACAGCTCAATCGTCGTACTTGTGTATCAACTTCAAAGTCAAGTTTGTAGCTCTGGGTTGTGTGCTAAATCAGCACTAAATTCTCTAACTGCAACAGATTGCTAAGGGCATGGGAGCAACTCCATTGCCAGCAAGACACTTGCTTATAATTTAAAAATAAATACGTCAATTTTTCTTTGCAAAAATTCAGGACAAAAATTTTGAAGCTGTGCCCAGGATTAAGAAAAGCACAGGGATTCCCCGCAGTTTTATGGTAGAAGTTGATGACCCCAACATGAAGGGTGCAATGCTCACCAATACTGGGAAATACGCAATACCAACAATTGATGCGTAAGTATTTAGTATTTATTGTCCTGCAATACTGAGCTGCTTATCCAGTGGAGAGTCAATCTTAGTTAAAAATCCATAATATATGTCTAGGGTGGATATGATTACAAAGTTTAGGCTCCAGACTCAACACCTGTGCAATTATCCCAATATAAAATATTGTACATAATCTTTTTATTAAATATTTTCCTGTACATTAATTCCCATTTTAAATTCTTCACTGAGTAAACAAATAGGAAATTGCAGTTTTTAAGAAAATTATTTAGTGTTTATCATTGCTGCAGATTCGTACCTAATAATTAAATATTTGCATTCTAGAGAAGCATATGCACAGGGCAAGAAGGAAAAGCCACCGTTCTTGCCTGAGGAACCCTCCTCATCATCTGAAGAGGAAGATCCAATCCCTGATGAACTCTTGTGCCTTATCTGCAAGGATCTTATGATGGATGCTGTTGTTATACCATGCTGTGGGAACAGTTATTGTGATGATTGTAAGTCATCTGAGGAATGCATTGCTATTCAAGCAGGTCCTTAAGCAGTCAGTCACTGGGATTCCTCTTATGGCTGTGGTTCAGTGAGTAACTTACACCTCTGAATCACTTGGTTCTGGGTTCAAGACCCACTCAGGGCTAGAGCACAACAATCAATGCAGGCACACCAGTGAGGAAACAAGTCTTTTTCTCTCATTTCACATTTTTTATGCACTTACTGAAATGTTTTTAGTAATCTTACTTTTCTTTAGCTTTGAATTATATTTGTTCATTTTATTGAATTGCTGTGCACAGGTATCAGAACATCATTACTTGAATCTGAAGAACACACCTGCCCAACTTGCCACCAAACAGATGTTTCACCTGATGCTTTGATTGCAAACAAATTTTTAAGACAGGTAATTCACTTAATGTCAAATTCCTAATTCAAAATCTAAGACTTCAGTCTTGCATATGAAATATGGTTCTTGTTCCTAAATTATATCGTTGTAAATTAGTTTTAGAATTACAAACACATAATCCCTGTGCAGTTCTAGGTCAGTTTGGATCACATTTGTTTGTGATATAAACGATTTCCAAGTTGTTTGAGCAAAAAGAGAAGCTTGGATATAAATGAGGAATGAGTATTTGAAGTCCATGTAGGGAATAGAATGGGGGAGTTTCAAATTTATTCTCAGTCATAGTATTCTTATTTGCAGGCTGTGAACAACTTCAAAAATGAAACTGGTTACACAAAAAGAACTCGCAAGCAACAGCCGACTCAGCAGCAGCGACAAGCTCCGTCCCAACAAATGCATAATCAACAATCTGCTCTGAGGCCATTACCCCTGCTCAACCCTCAGCCTGTTCTTCCAGTAAGCAGAGCAGCTAGCTCAAAACCAGCAGACATGCCAGTCACCACCACTACTCCGACTGGCCCAACTTCCCTTCCAAGTACAGCCCCTACCCCAGTACGTGCTCCTTCTCCTGTGAAAACTAGTAGAGCTCCCCCCACTGCCAACAACCCTGCTCCAGACTTGTCAACAGCCACAGTTCATGTTCATCCGTTACCTCCAAAGCACGAAGAAGGGGATATGTAAGTTTTGCTCTTGTCACAAACTTTTAGGGATTACAGTTACATCTTACTATCAGATTTTCAAGAAAGTTGTTTAAAAGGTCACATGATGGGGATTTCTGAGCAAAAGCAGGCCACTCAATCCATAGTATTAGTGCCACTGCTATGTGTTAAATGCAGAAGTAATTTCACCTGTTAGTACCATAAGTCAAGATTTCACTACTTTCTCCTTCAAACAATGCCACTTGATTAAATTCTAGTTTGTAACTAATTCGCGAATATTTTTTACTATCTACCTCATTTTCATCTGTAGAAGTCGTCATCACAGTACCTAGCTATCTCATGAGCAATTTCAAAATCTTCATTTCATCTACGTACTTCAGTACCATTCTAGATGTTAATTGCTCCTTTTGTGGACTGCTTTGTGACAGCACTGATCTTAGGCTGTGAATTAATCCTGGATCCCAGATGTTTAATTCTAAGTTACATTTTTCTGGAATTTACATAATTCTAAGTTATTTTCTCCAATAAATTATAATGTTAATCAAGCTGGATGACTAAAACAAATATAATTCCTTAAGAGAAATTAGCATGGCCAAAACTTTACAACTGTGAATGATTGCTCACTTCTCCTCCACGCTCCACCCTAAAATATGTATTAACTGGATCATCATTAATTTACAAAAATGGGTTTCCAAATATGATTAGATTTTTTTCTTGTGATTATTTGGCTGCTTGTCTTCACAGGATTGTCCCCTTTCCTGAAAGGGGTGGTGTGGATATGTGCATCACAGACTGAAAGGTGACTCAGTTTAGAGCCTGAATAACACAGCCCAATTTATCAATTTGGGTTTGAACTGTCACCCAGCACCTTTAATTAATGGTGAACTTTGAGATATTTACCCCAAATTATGTAATTTTCCTTCAGCCACATTGCCTTCCACTTTTCAAAACCCATTCGACTTCTATTTTACTTCTGGAAGGCTAGGTACAGAAGTGAGTCATTTAGCCTTCCCGAACTTGTTTCTCCACCATGCAATTGCTTATCTGCAACCTTCCATCATATCACCTCCTTTGCCAATAACTTAAGATTTTTGCCAGCCAAAAGTGCCAATCTTAAATCAATTATTAACATATCCAAGAGTTGTTATGTGAAAGCCTGTTTCAAACATGTCATACTGTGCATGAGAAGGTGTTTCCTCCTCTCGTTCTTGAGTTTGGTATAATTTTCAGATTTCCCATCAATGCTGTCCTGTAGATTTAAACTCCATACCCAGCATAATTAATTTGTCCAAATGTATTGTATGCGTTCCCCTTGGTATCTGATAAGTTTGATCAATTTGCCCCTTAATCTGTGAATCCCAGTGAATCCAACAAAAGACTGTGTAATGGTACCACGTAATTTAACCTTTGAAATCCAGGTTCCATTCTGTTAAATTTATTATGTACTTCTCCCAAGGTCAGTATGTGATTTCTAAGGAGTAGAATAAGTAACAGTACGCCAAATTCAGTTAGCCCAGGTCTTGTCTGCTCTGGGCCATTGTCTCTTTGAGTTCTATTTTTCTAGCTTCTCGCCATTTATACAGTACCCCTACTATATTCTTTGAGTCTCATGGCAATTTATTCAAAGTAGGCAAATGTACCATTTTCCGTGGCTTAGCCCTTTCATTTAATTTGGCAATGTCTCACCCTTCCACACTATTCTTAGTGCTGTCTATCTTTCTGTCAGTGGCAAATGTGCATATGTGGTTTTCTTTCTGACCTGTGGATCATGAATAGATATGCTGAATAGTTGAAGCTTCATTCAAGTTCCTTGCCAACACAAGTCATCACATCCTACAAATTGAAGTACCTGTCAGTGATCCCTACTGTCAGTCATTTACTGCTCAGCCCGTTTCCTAACTAGATCAATAATTTGCCTACAATTCAAGGAGCCTTTGAAAAACCTCAAACAAGGGACTTCATCAAATGCCGTCTGGAAGTCCGTTTTAAGTAGCATCCATAGACATTCCTCTGCTCACTACATTAGTCAACACTTCAAAATATTGAGTCAGATTTAAGCATGATATACCATTTTCATATTAACATTGGATCCCTCTGACCAGCAGAAAATGTTCAGAAGTCAACCTTAATTATAACTCCAGCAATTTCCTGACAGGTACTCAGATAACTGGCCCCTGGTTTTGCTATCTTGCTTTATATAATTGTCATCTTATTTCCCCTCAAATTGTTACTTTTAATATGAATTATGGGAGTAAGCTGAAGAACATGAAAACTAATTCACACAAGCACTGTTCACACTTTCCCTAAATAATCACTAAACAGGCCATGAATTGTGACATTAAGTTTTAACCAACTGTAAAAGTGAAGTGTTTTATTCTTATTTCATATTCAGTGAACTCAGCAAAACGGTTGCAGTCACAACCACAACTGGAACAACCACAAGTAATCCATCGATGTCTACGAGCAGTACCTCTGCCGTGAAGGTAAGTCATTGATCATGTGTCAACATTGTACAGTTTGACTTCTTTCTTGCATGCACTGACAGATAAAGAGTCATATTGACCCACCTTTTAAAATCCTCCAACTTTTACATAGATTTAATGAACTGAAATTAGCTAGCACAGGCCAAACCTGATAGAAAAGGCAAGGCATATCTAACAATTGAGCCCAGAAATGAGAAAGTGAAAGGTAGAGAGGGGTAATGGAAAAGGTCAAGTAGTAAAAGAATGCCAAGGGATCAAAATGGTATGGGTAAAATGAACCTCGAATTCAGGTTTTTCGATTGGGACCCTCTATGCAATTCAATTTCAAATTGCGTGTGGCATGGCATTTCATTTCAGCCATATCATCCTAAAGTTTAAAACTCGGTTTTGGTGACTAAAAGTCACAGCCCTCCAGCATGCAGAACAATGACTGATGATTACCCAAAAGCAACATGTGCATTGCAATTTATATTAGTGGTTGGAACTGGAATGATGTACTTTGAATGAGGTTTCCTTGCAGTCAAATGAAATAATAAACTAATCACTAATAAAATTATCTTTTACGTGTTAAAACGTGAAAAGCTGATGTTTCTTCCCTCGCACAATCACAATGGAAATGAATGGGATGTAGTTTTTTCCAAATTTTGATTCAGTGGACTGAGATTTTTCATCCAGTCAGGTTGTGTTACAATGAGAAGACGTTTGTTCAAGTTTTATACAAGCAGTCCCAGGTTGCGAGCTGGTTCTGTTCGAGTTTGCTTGCAAGTCAACTTGTATGCAAGCCAGAACACAATGCAGGATGATGTAAAATAGCCATTCATACGGGAAATGTTTGTATGTCAGATCTTAAAAATTACACCCTTTTTGGGATTGCACTCATCAAATATGAGCATTCAAAAATTGGGAACCCCTGTCCAAGGATTGAGAACCACTAGAATTCTGTTCAGTTGGAATAACTGGGAAAAGTTAGTTTCCCCTGTGATCTAACTAGTGATCTATCATTGCTTTCATTGGCTTGATTGTTACTGTTCTTTTTCAGGGTTATCAGGTTCCTGTTCTTGGTCATCCACCTTCACATGGACAGTCCATACCCACAACAGGTTCGTTTTTAGGAAATGGTTTTCAGATTTGGTTGTAAAAATGAATCAAATTAATTTTTATTAACTTTATGTTTAGGTCAGCCAATGAGAAGCAGTGGGGTTAGACCACCAGGAAGCAGACCTGGCTGGGAATTGTAAGTCGAAACCATTTGAAATTCCTGTATCTAAGCATAATCCCACTTCAAGAAGCCATTTTACTGTGTCACTGTAGCATGTTTACTTGCATCTGACAATATTGTGGTTTTCCTGTGTGCACTTCACATTCTGAATTGAGAACCTCTATACTGTCTACCTGCAGCAGCGAGAAGGAAAGTTTTGGAGTTGGAAAAGAGAAGGGATGTTCAGCCTATCATTCTGGGCTGCATTCTAAGATGTTTTTAAAAAAAAAAACTCCCCATTTTCCTCATTATTTTGGTAATTTAAAAATTCATTTCATTGTAGAAATAATTATATTTCATGTGACACTGACTCTGAAGCATTCATAGCTATTTTCAGGTCTTTTCATTTGCTATTCAATAAGTCTTAAATGAAGAGGAGAAGTAGGCCTTTTAGCCATTCTGAGTGTGTTCTACATTCAAGATGATCATGGCTGATACTTTATCTAAGTGCCATATTCCGCTTGCTCTTCATATCCGTTGATGCCTTTAATATCTAAAAGGTGATCTGTCTCTTTCTTTGAATAGATTCAATGACTTGGCCTCCGCAGGCTTCTGTGGTGAAGAATTCCACAGGTTCACCACCCTTTGAGTAAATAAATCTTTCCTTATCTCGGTCCTAAATGGCCAACCCCTTGTTCTGGACTCCCAACCAGGAATACATCCTCCCAACATCTAATCTGTCCAGTTCTTTTAGAGGTTTATAAGTTTCATCTTCTAAACTCTGGTTTGACTGAGCCTCAAGACAATCCTGCCATCCCCAGCCTAGTGAGCTACCTCTCCAATATCAATATAGCTAGTATATCCTTTTTTGGGTACGGAAACCAAAACTGTATCTAATACTCTAGGTATATTCCTCCAAGGTCCTGTATAGCTGTACTAGGACAAACCTTACTTCTAACTCCAGTCCTGTTGCAACAAAGACTAATACGGCATTTGCCGTCTGAATTGCTTGTTACAACTGCCTATCTGAATTTTTTTTTTGCCTTATCGTAGTCTTACGAGACAATAGAGCTGCCCTTCCTTGGAGAGATGACTGGTGGTTTAACCTGAGGGTGTCCACACTTTAGGCAAGGGGAGAAGTTGAGAGGGAGAATCCTTCATGGTAACTTCAGCCAGCATGGGAATTGAACCCATGCTGTTGGCATCACACCATATTGCAAACTAGCTGTCCAGTCAACTGAGCTAACCGACTCCTTTAATTAGCTGGTGTACAAGACATCCAGATCCCCTTTTTTTTTACATCTACATTTACCAATACAATCGCCATTTAAATAAAACTCTGCTTTTCTGTTATCACACTGAAGTGTATAACTTCACATTTAGCCAAGTGAACCACATCTGCCATGTGGTTGTCCATTCAACTTATCTAAATCACCTTGAAGACTTCTTGCTGAATCCTCCGTTCACAATGCCATCCAATTTTGTCATCAACCTTTGGCTCTTTCATCCAAATCATTTATATACATCATGAGTAGTTGGGGCCCCAAGCACAGATGCTTGCAGTACCCCACTACTCGTTGCTTTCCACCTGGAAAACGGCACCCATTTTTCCCACTGATTCTCCTGTCTGTCAACGAATTTTCAACCCATGCCAATATATTGTCCCTAATCCCACGTGCTTTAATTTTGCCCAGTAACACTTTGTGGGACCTTGTCAAAAAAGCCTCTTTGTCCTGTTTTACTGAACTTTAAAATGCTCCCAATCCTCAAGCTTAATGCTTTTACTGGCAATTTTATATGTCTCCTGTTTGGACCTAATACTATCTCTAATTTCTTTTGTGAGCATTTTAAGTGGTTGGGCGACTTTTCTGTTACACTTTTGAATGAATGTTGTACTTTGTGCATAGTTCTTTAAATATTAGCCATTGACTATCCATCATCAGTTGTTTTAATAAGGTTCCCTAAGCTAATTCATGCTTCATAAACAAGTTCACTGTCTATCTTAATGAAAAATTATGGTCCGCGTGACCAATATGTGACCGTACAAGAAGACCGTTAATTAATCATTTGTCATTGTACAGAATCCATTCGAGAATAGCCTGTTCTCTGTTGGTTCCTCAATGTATTCTAAAAGAGCCAGGAAATTTGTCCAATCTACATGTAAATTAAAGTTGTTCTTGATTACAGTTGTACCTTAATTGCATGCATCCCTAATTTCTTAATTTAATGCTTTTGCTGCATCACCACTGTTCGCAGGCTGATAGCCAGCACCCATCAAAGTTTTCTGCCCCTTGGTGTTTCTTCTCTAGCCGTACAGGTTCCACTGATTCATTCCAACTCCATTACACAGGGTGTATAGGTTTATGTGATTGAGTTTTCTTCAGAGGGTAGTGTGAATTATGATAGAAATGACTTTGTTTGGTTTCTAATTGAACTATAACAAGGATCTGTTTAGTCCTTGCCATCTTGGTTCCCATGTGATAGCTGCTGCATTTACTGTGAAATGCCATGTTTGAAAATACCTGCCAGTGCATCTCCACTAATACAAAGTACTGAAAGTGGGTACTGTATGGCAACCATGAACCTTTTTTTCAGATCTGCAGCTATGCTGCAACTTATTGTTTGATTATCTCCTGACTTGATCTGTTCGCCTAGGCCATCCACCAGAGGGCATCAACAGAGTGATCGTGTTCCAAGAAGCAGAGCGCAGGCAACAAATCCCCCACCAGTGTACGTCCACCCACCAGCTCTGTATCCTCCTCCACCTCACCCAGTTCCTCTTCCCCCAGGAGTGCCTCCCCCTCAGTTTCCTCCACAGTTTCCTCCTGGCCAACCACCACCCACTGGATTTAGCATCCCTCCTCCAGGATTCCCTCCAGCTCCAGCCACTATTTCTGCCCCTTGGGTACCTCCTGCCACTCCAGCAACTCCTGCAAGTGTAATGCCAACAGTCACCCAAGCACCTCCACTTTCCAGGGAGGAGTTCTACAGGGAACAGCGACGGCTGAAAGAAGAGTGAGTGATTCTCGTTTTATGAAACATTCATATTTTTAGTTGTTGATCAATAGTTTACAACATAGGGTTCTCTTAGAAAGCTAGCTGCAGTTGAAATATCAGGTGTATTATTTGCACCATATTTGTTGAAAATCTGAAAAAATGTGTTGCAGATTCCGTGTAGGTTTCTCAGGATGCATGGGAAAGAAAGCTGAATGTCTAAGACTGACCCTTCATCTGAACTATACCTATGATTTTTTTTTTTTGAACTTCAAACATTACAAGTCTTAGTTTTTCAGATATGGATTAGTACCATTGCTACTCATGGGGATCAAGCTGAGACTTCCTGCGAGATGGAGATATCTTTTTTAACCAATATCTTGTATGACCTGTATCTTTGGTACACTGTTTCTATGTGATCTTGGTATAGGCATGTAAAAATGTTGGTTGGAGAGTTTATCTTGTTTACTGTTGAATGCAGAACTATGACCAGATACTCCTCTGTAACTGGCTAGAAAAAAAAATTGAAACAAACATCTGTTATGATGACCTAGGCTGGAGGAGTGTGTCATTGCTTTCATCCCACTACTCTATAGATCACAACTTTCAGGCTTTAAACAAAAAAAAAAATCAGCCATGCCTAGGTTCCAAAATGGCAGCGGGATAGCAAGACTGCTTGCGGGCTCTTGCCGAGGGATTATCCGCTCCCGTTTGCTTGTTCTTTTTTGTTCTTTTTATTTCTGCTCCTCTTTCTTTCGTTTTTCTTTACTTTTGAGTTAGTCATCGGCGCAGCAGTGAGAGCGGGCTGTGCGTGGAGTGGCAGCAGCCTTCTGGCGATTGCAGGTGACAGCAACAAAGACGTCCTCGCACTGTCCAGGTTCAGCAGCAGCAGCAAAGCTCCTTCAGGAATCAGTTGGCAACTCCAGCAAGGTGATATCTTGAAGGAGGACTGCCGGAGTGGGAGTCCTAGCGCAGCAGCCTGGCTTGGTAGCAGAGCCAGAGACTCCTGGTTGCTGTCTAGCAAGACTGGGGACTCCTGGTGTTGGCAAGGTTGCTGCTGCAGTGGCCTAGAGCAGGCATCATTCAAGGCGGCAACGCAGCCGTGGGCTCCTGGTTGTAGTCACAGGCCCGGAGCAGGAGCCCCTGGGTATCAGTGAGGTGACAGCTGGTTGCAGGGTGAGTGTGGGTTCAGCATGGGACTCAGCAGTGGCGAGGTGGGCCCAGTGCCAAAGAGATGGTGCCTAAAGAGTGGTGACTCCTACAATGATAAGTCCAGCGCAAATAGCCGTGAGGCACTGAAGCAGGTGTACCGGTGCAGCTGTCACTGGTGAGCTGACTCCAGGTGAACGCAGCAGAATGAAGATGAGACTGCCTTTTAGTTATATCTTTTTACTCTTTTTCTTAAACTATTCAAAATGGTGCCAGATTGTGGCGACACACTATTTTTTGTATTATTTACTGTAAAATGCAAGTGACAAAAAATAATTCAGTCTTGATAAACTAAATTGAGCTCCGATCAAAACCAAACTTATTCATTAAAGATACTTTAATTAATTAGTATGCACCATCCATAATATACAACTCTAAATGCTTATCTCTAAATATCCCTAAACCCCCCACACATCCTAATCAGAAGTGTAGAGTGTTTTCTTTTTAGAAATGGGAAACATTTGCTGGACAGCTTGTTCACTGCAACCTTTTTTCCAGTTCAGTTAGTTCTTAGGCTTCCCTCCTATTGAAGTAGATAAAACAAAAATCTCTCCAAGCCAGTTGCACTCCAAAATTACCAGCAGCCATGTGATTTCTAGGAACCCTTATTTTAAAAAAAATCTAGTGCCCACTGTGAATTTGCAATGGCTGTTGTCAAAGAAACCATTCCAGCTATTTCCACCAATTTGAAATAACTTATTTTTCCACAATCCTTCAAGCAATGTTAAATATAAAGCTTCTTCAGAACACTGTACAAACCAGCATTTCATTCTGTGCCTCTGGTGGTCACTTCATGAGAACAAAAATGCAATTAAATGTTGTTTAGTAGTACTGGACTGAGTTTTCACAAACTAACTGCTATGAAGAATGTCAGTATGTCAGTAACATGAATTACAGCTGTTATTTTTGGTGAAGGCTTAGGAATCTCTCCACTTGTTGGAGTCATGCCTATGTCATACCTTAAAAAAGGTTGTGATTGTTGTTCACTCATCTTAGTCCCATGATATTACTGCAGGAGTTCTTAACAGTAGTATCCTCAGCCCAAACACCTTCAACTGTTTCTTCAATGACCTTCATTCTATTATGAGGTTAAAAGTGGGAATGTTTACTGCTGATTACACTGTTTCCCCTTGAGAAGGCGCTGAGGGGCTTTCTTAAACTACTCCAGCCCATTTGATATAGTTACACCCACGGTGCTGTTCGGTAGGGAGTTCCAACAGGGCAGAAATAGCAATACATTTTCAAGTCAAGGTGTTGAGTGGCTTGAGGGGAATATGCAAGTGATGGTTTTCCCATGTATCTACTGCCTATGTCCTTCTAGATGGTAGTGATTGTGGATTTGGATGGCTGCTGTCTAAGAAACCTTAGTGAATTTCTGCAGTGCATCTTGAGAATGGTGGACACTGCTACTGAGGGTTGGTAGTGAAGGGATTGAAAGTTAGTTGATGTGGTGCCCTTCTAATGGGCTGTTTGTCCTTGGTGTCAAGATTCTTGTGGTGTTAGAGCTGTAATCCTCCAGGTAAGTGGAGAGTATTCTGTCACATTCTTGACTTGTGCCTTGTAGATGGTGGACAGGCTTTGGACAATCAGGTGATTTTCTTATAGCAGGTTTCCTAGCCTCTAGACATGTTCAGCACCAATCCTAGGCATCACCCAGGTCATTGTGTATTTGGTCATGGTCTGCATCAGTATCTGCAGTGTGGCACATGCTGCTAAGCATTGTGCAATTATCTTCCCACTTCAGACCTAATAGAAGGCAGATCATTGACAATAGCTGAGTCTGGAGCACTTGACTGACCTAGATGTTCAGCACTGTTCAACAACTCGGTACTAGAACAGTTTGGGTCTGTATGCAGCAAGTCATGGGCAACATTCAGGCTTTGGCTAAGTGGCACATAATGTTTGTGCCACACAAGTGCCAGGCAGTGACAATGTAAACTTAAACATGTGTAAAAGTAGACAATTTGGCCTCTCGAGCCTTTCACTGTTCCATAAGATTATGGCTAATCTTTGCATTTTGAATTCTGCATTTCCATCCATGCCTGATCAACGTTGAATTCCCTCGCCTAACAAGAATAGATCCACCTCTGTCTTTTAAAATGATGGTGATCCCACCTAGTTGTCTATTTCTCCATAAGGTCATGTACTGCACAGGACTTAATTTTTATCAGCCGGTTACCACATTTCTGTAATGACTATCCGATCATATTTGTTTGCTTTAATATGTGGTATTGATTCATTTACTTTGACTGCTGTATGCATTCGAACATAGAGCATTTAGCTTTTTTGTGTTTTTTTTTAATATCTGGTTTTGGTGTATTCCTAGGTTGTTTTTTTTCTTTGTATCTGACCTTCATTTCCCATAGTATTATTAAATCTTTCTACTTTTGATCCCTTATTCACACTATTTTGTTAAAAACACTGTATATTTTCCTGTTCCAACATATGTATAGAACATCCCAACAATACAGTCCCCTTTTCTTTCCCCCAGTACCAGAGCCAGTGATCCATGAACCAGAACTCACCCACACCACTAGACTCTGAGCCCACATATTCATCTCCTGGATGAAGCACCATCAGCTGGAAACTCCAAACCCCCTCTCCATCCTAATGTGGACCTATATCAATTTCCTTTCACCACTGCAGGGTCAAATCCTGGAACTCCCTCACTGACAGCATTGTTGGTGTACCTACACCACATGAACAACTGGAAGAAAGCAGCTCCCCATCATCACCTTAAGGGCATTTCCCAGTAATGTCCACATCCAGTGAGCAAATGCATTTAAAAGAAACAAATTGCATTGTCTGCCTATACAGCTGCCTGACCATTAGCAGGATGGAACCAAACCTTTTTAAGAGTTCTAGTTTTATTTTCCCTCTGTGACACTCTGGAGGACCCAGCAAAAACTAGCCATCATGTCTCCTGGTTAATCCTCGTCTAGTGCTCACAGCAGCTTCATGGTCATCAACAGCTTGACTATCCTGCCATAAAGTGCATTGCCCTGGCTAATGGTCAGCAAAGGAGAAATTGAACAAGGGCGTGGTTCAGTTTGTCTCTGTTAGTACTTTAATCTTAATGCACCTCAGCTTTTCAAAAAGATCAAATGTCTCATTTGCAAATTTAATTTCTGTACTTTTTTAATTAGAGGGGAATGGCTTTTGTAGCTCAGCAAATTGAACATTAACTTGGCTGAGAAAAACAAGTTCTTTAATGGACAGATTAGTACTATGTTCTAAACTCCTTTTAAAGTGCATGCCTTTGCTTCTAATGGTAAAACTTAAGAAAACAAAATTTGGTTATATATAAAAGTAGGGCAGTTCTCATTGCTGGTAGCATGTTAAAAGGTATGCATAAGTGAACTATGTAGATGTGGTAGCTGAGTTAAACATGTTAAGGCCTACAATCTTTTTGTTTTACGTAAATGTTCTTCTGTCTTCTCTTCACCTCCACCCTCACCCACCCATCCATCCACCACCACCAACCGGTACATCAAATTTTAGGGAGAAGAAAAAATCAAAGCTTGATGAGTTCACCAATGATTTTGCTAAGGAGTTAATGGAGTATAGAAAAATTCAAAAGGAACGCAGGCGCTCCTACTCCAGGTAAGTTTGCTTATTGTGAAATTGAACCTGAGCAGATCTGTCACTTCTTTAGCAGGTGTAAAGAATAACTTGTTTGTTATGCTTATTTAATCTGTAAATAGAGAGGCCATATGATCCAACAACAGCTAGTTTGCTGGTAAAATGGCAGTTTCCTATTATGGCAGAATATTCAAGAAATTATCAAGTTCTGAAGAAGGGTGACTGGATCCAAAATGTTGACTCTTTCTCACCACAGATGCTGCCAGACTTCCTGAGTTTCTCTACCAATTTCTGCTTTTGTTTGATTTCCTGCATCCTCAGTGTCTTTTTTATTGTCATCGTGTCTTTGTTCATGTAAAGTTGGGGTGAATAACTTTGATTTTCCCTCCCCGTCCACCCCCCCCCCCCCCCCCCAAAAAAATGACTTTGTCACCTGCTGTCTTGATCTTCCCTTGCTGCATTTTGCACACAGTGTGTCTCATTTTTCTGTCTCAAAAATCAGCGCTGTTTCCAGTCTTTGTTTATTATGATTGGCACTTCAGCACTCTGTCCCTATTGTGGAGTTACTGAGTGAACTCTGAGTCAGATAATTTGTTTTATTTTGACATGATTTTCAGGACTTATTTTTCTGTAGTTTTAAAAGCTTGCTTTACAAGTTTCCTATACCAAGTGTAGCACTCATTATGCTTTTAGAATAGTGGGCGTCATCTATTAGCTCCACCTAGGTGCTACCATTTGGCTATCGAACAGCAGAAATCTGGAGGCAGCAGACACAGCAGTGAACGTTCGGCCAGTAGGCTGACTGCCTGATGCCTTGCCCAGCCCAGCTTTTCGTTAATTCGAACGTAACCAAAATTTAAAATGGGTTCTCTCCTCAGATATGGGAGAAAGTTTGTGTATTTCAGTTTGTTTGCAATTTTGGAATTGTAACATTTAATACTTAATCATTTTTTCTATTCATTCCCTACTCAGGTCCAGATCGCGTTCATATAGTGGATCGTCATTCAGTGGAAGTTCTTACTCTTACTCCAAGTCTAGATCTAATTCCTCACGATCCTATTCCCGATCAGTTAGTAGATCACCAAGTCGTTCCTACTCAAGATCTCCTTCGTATCGAAGAGGTAGTGGGAAGAGTCGAGGTTATCGATCCAGATCCAGGTCACGTGGGTTTCACAGATCCAGATCCAGGTCACCATCCTACAGAAGCTATCGCTCTCGTACCCGATCTCCAAATTACAAAACACATTCTCCTTACAAACGAAGTGCCCCTCAGGGTGAAAACGATCGTGAGTATTATGATCGCTACAGAGAGCCACCACCTCCGTTTGACTACAGAGAACTTTATGAAAGGCCTCGTGATCCAAGAGACTCTTTTGAGAGGGAACGGTATAGAGAGTGGGAAAGGCGATGCAGAGCATGGTACGAATATTATAAGGGCTACAGTGGTGGCAATCAGCCACGACCACGGTCTCCCTCAAATAAGGATCACTTCTCTCCAGAGCGCTTTGGTACTGCAAGTGCTAGGCGTGATGGTTCGCCACACAGCCGGAACCGTCGGGATGAATATCCAGCAGAACAGACCCCTCGGGTTCGTAATGTGGCTGGCACTGGTAATTATCAAGAAAAGTACTCTTACAGAGAAAGTCACACTACAAAAGAATCAAGAGATTCAAAGGAAAAAGAAGCACCAAGCCTTCGTCCTGACTCCAAAGGAACAAAACATAAAAAACACAGGAAGAAGAAAAAAGATGAAACAGAGACGCTTACTAACCCCGAATCTTCTCGTGATGGGAAGAAAACCGGAGAGACTGCTGGCGATGAAGGGAAAGGGACCTCTTTGTTTCTGCCCCTCAGCAGAGATGATGCAACACCAGTGAGAGATGAGCCCATGGAAGGAGACTCTATTCCTTACAAAGCCACATCTGAAAAGGACAGAAAGGAGAAGTTAAAATCAAAGAGTGAGAAACAGAAACGGAAAGCAGAGAGTAGCACGCCAAAGAAAGAACCCTCTGGAAAAACAGCAAAAGTATCTCAGGAAAAGCCTATCGAGAGAGAGAGAGAGAGAGAGAAATCCCCTCACACTGAGATCACAGCAAAGAAAACCAGGGAGGAATGTCCTCCCAAAATAGAGGGGACAAAAATCCATCTTCTTCCAAAAAGCGAGAAGTTTTTTTTACCCAGGAAGGTGCAGCTTAAAATGGGGCGTGAATACCAAGAGATGAAGATTGTAAAAGAGGAAAAACAAAGAAAGGATTACCCCAGGGAGGAAACTAAACATGAGAAACATGATAAAGTAGTCAATAGGGAGGAAAAATCAAAAAAGACAGTTAAAGCTGATGAGAAACCAACTAAAGCAGAGGTAAAAGCTGATAAACGTAAAAGGAAAACTGATGACAAAGTGAGAGAGAGAGAACTTGGAACACCTCCAACTAAATCATCAAAAGTAGAAACAACAGAGGGAGCAAAAACTTCAGTGAAAAGTAAATTTAACTCTGGCAGTGAAAACTCAAAAGAAAAACACACAGACTTGCCTGCTGACAAGGAGAAGGCCACTCCACCAAATGTATCAGTGAGGAAAATCAAAATAAACCGGGAAAGTGGCAAAAAGATTGTGAGTGGAGAGTCCCCAGCTCCACTAGAAGAGTCTACAGAATTAGCAGAAATGAATGGTGGAAAATCCAAACCTGAGAAGGTGAAAACCAAGACGAGGAGGAAAGTGGTTGGGGGCGAGGTGGCTGGTTCAACACTTGTGGATTACACAAGGTTAGCACATTTTGTATCTTTTATGTTTAGAGTGATTAACATCAAAAAGACTGATTTCTGGGGCAGGGAGGGGGTCTGAGTGTAGTTCTGGGGTTTTTTTGTGTTCTGTTTGAAGTGTTATTAAGGAGCCCAGTTTGTGTTCATGTGGTATGGTTCAGTTACCACAGCGAAGTTTTAGCATTCCCTGATTCTAGATAACCTTAGTAACCAAGCCCACAAAACTCCAATGTCGACATGAGTGATTTTTCAAAATTTTTAATCCCCTGCTTTCTCCCAATAAAAAAAGCTGAATGTCGAGCATATTATTGAAATTGTAATTCCACTGTGGGAGCAGGGAGGAAATTGAGTCCTGTCCCTACATGCAGATGTTTAGCTGAACTGCAGCAACTACAAAGCATTCCGTGCACCTGAAATCAATGGTGCTTTGAACAGTCAAGCACATCTCACCTGCAATGCCATTTATGATCCACCATTGCAGACAAGATCACCTAGCCTCTAATTGTTCCCTATTGCAGCACCCTTCACAATTTCATTGTGCACCAACTTTACCTGGGGCTTTAGGATAGTTACGTGCAATCACCTGTTGACTCTCGCTCTGGCTTCCTCTTGTAGGGAAGTGCATTCCTACAACAGCTGAGATGGAGGTGAGGTAAGTTGTGGGTGTGCGGCACGTGCTATTTCAGGTTAGTGCTTGATTGCATGCTGTTTCTGTGTTGCATTAGATGAGCCTTTTCAAGGTGACCATAATTAGGAATTGTAGCTACCAAAATGGTGGAGGGAATGTTGGCAGTCAAGATGATGTAATTGAGCTGTTATTTTTCTGTCCCCAGTACCAGTTCTGCTGGAGGCAGCCCCATTAGAAAAGCTGAAGAGAAATTGGACACAAAGAAGACTGTGATCAAGACTATGGAAGAGTACAATAGTGATACTAGACCCCCAGCTGAAGATGAGATTGTTATTGTACAAGTTCCTCGTTCCAAATGGGAAAAGGAGGATTATGAGACTGACGAAGATGAAGGAAAAACAGCAGCTGCTGCATTAAATGTTGTGAAAGCCGCTGGCAGTGGAGCAGGTGCCTCTGTGAAGTCTATAAACCCTGCAAAGCAAACCGATAAAGAGGTTCCATCAGAGAGATTCCCAAAAACTGCTAAAGAAACAAATCTGGATGAGACTCAACAGGAGCCCAAAACAACTGCAAAATGTTTAAGTGAGAAAGGTTTGAAGACCAAAGATAAAGAGCATGGGTCAGACAAGGAGACTCCAGACAAGAAGAAAGCTCTAGTTCAGCCTGACAAGCCAGCAGTTACAGAGCGGGATATAGAGTCAGCAATTGCCAATAATCTCCCTCAATCTTCAAAAGACTGGATAGTTGAAAAATTAGATCCAGGCAGTAGAGGAACCTCAAACAAAGACGCAGGTCCTTGTGTTGATGGAAAAGTGGAAAGTGTCGACAGGCAGACCTCTATTTCCAAACACAGAGAGGAGCGAAATCGTGATATTAAGAAGCGGGATTCTCCCAGTAAATGTGAAGAACTGACACAAAGCCTAAAAGGTAAAGAGCAACAGACGGACAGCAGGAAAAGTAGTACAGAGCCCAAGAAAAATGACCACAGTCCTGGGAAGGAAAGGAGACTGCATACAGACCACAGGAGTAGTTCTGAGTCCAGAAGTGCCACTGAAGAACCAAAATCATCAACCCTTTCCAGCCGAGAGAAGGAGAAATATATTTTGGAAATTAGGAGCAGTAAGGACAGGCAAGTCACTGGGAAAATGATCTCTCATCGGACTGAAATATCAGCTGAAAAGAATGATCAAGAGCATTCTGGACGAGGTGACAAGGACCACAGCCGCACCAAGCCCCCAGGACCAGTTAGCCGCTCTGTCCGACATTCTCGCCACTCCCTGGACCTGGCCAGAGAAACTGATGAGGCTGCCTTTGAACCTGACTACAATGAAAGTGAAAGTGAAATTGAAGAGGACCAGTCACTGAGGGAGGGAAGGGAAGCAAAAGAGATCATGCACCAAGCAAGAGAGATCAAGGGAGTGTCTATGGGTTCTAGAAACAACAGTGCTAAAAGTCTCACCCAAAACAGCCTGAGCAGCCCTACTTGCTGTCAGAGCCACAGCCCAAGTGAGAGCCAGACTCGAAGCCGCAGTAGCAGTGTCAGTTCAGAGGACACTCAGGATAGCAAGAAGAAAAAGAAGAAAAAGGAGAAAAAGAAACACAAAAAACACAAGAAGCATAAAAAGCACAAGAAACATTTGGACGTTGAGTCTGAACTTGACAAAACACAGAAACACAAACACAAAAAGAAAAAGTCTAAAAAAAGCAAGGACAAAGAAAAGGACAAGGACAGTGACCAGAAGGTCCGATCATCTGTCATCTTACGAACGGCAGAAACTGATTAGACAGTGGCTGGAGTATTTGATCAGATCCTGTAATAAATAGAAGCTTTGTAAATATTCACTCGGACATTGCTATTCTGCGCTGAGTCCACTGCAACTTCAAAGATTTTGTTTTCTGTAATATTGAGGGTTTATAAATTAGTTTTTGTACAGAATTATGTTTGACCATGGGTATGGGCAGATTATCCTGCAGCATTTTTAAGTGAACTATCAGACTACACTGGGAACTACTGTGAAAATTTTTCACTAAACTTTTTTTATAGCTGTGTATACAAGCTGACAGTGTAATTAATGTAAATGTTTTGCCTGATGATTTGCAGTATAAAGTAAAGCCTCACTGTGTCATCTTTTGACTGAATAAATTTTCATTGAATTCATTAGAGTCATTGCAAATACCATGTGTCACTGTGCTGTTCCAAACTCTGCAGTAGTAACACCACCAAAAAGACACTTGTGTATGACCAAAGGTTTCACACCACTGTATTAATATTTAATTTTAGGTTAGTGACATCAAGATTGAATATACTGGTTTCATTAGTGAGGCAGAAGTTAAGAGTTTGACATGTGCCAGCCAGCATTTTATATGCTATAAAAGTGGGGATTCACACATGGGCTAGTCAGGTTTCTCATGTGTAGGGTAATATTGAGGGTATTTCTTCTACTGAGTTGACTAGTCATTTCTTGCTTTTTCAATATTACTGATAATAGCTGGGTGGTAGTCACATGAAGAAGCTTAAATGAAGATTTTTAAGGATACAGAACATTAACAGACATTTGGCATCAGTCGACAACTTTTGCTGATCTGTGCAGATTCTGAAGTCTAAATGCACGGTTTGAGCTGTGATGCAGACAGTAAGACTGGAGAGCAACTCGTGCATTGCTTTGATTTAATGCAAATGGAATCTAATACCAACACTGTCAATCCGAGTGTAAAAAGTGCTTAGACCTTTTTAACCTGAATACTGTCTGACATTTGTTTAATTCCAGATATGTTGCAATGTCTACATATATAAAAAGCCTGCTCAACCTCCTCCCTGACTGAGCCCAGGTGGGGAAGAGAGAGACAGGGTCAAGTGTAATATCAGTATCACTGATTTGAATCTCACTTGGTGAGGATAGGTAACTGGAAGCAGCAAGGATCAGACACTGGCCAAACATGATGTTCTCTTTGCAGATCACTGTTGAATTCAAAATGCTTCATAGTAAATTTTGTCCTATGGTAAATGCCATTCTTTTGACAATTCTTTGTATTTCAAGCTTAACTTTTTTTCATTCAATATGGACTAATATTATTAAGTTAATCTTGGGACAGCTGTTAGGAAAACAGTCCTGAATATTATCATGCATTTTCATTTTGTTTTATTCACTTATGGGCTTATTTCTTAGGGAGAAATGTTTAGAATAAACTTTTTCCCTTTTAAAACTCCTGGACCATAACCAAGGCAGTGTGGGAATCTTCTGTGGTTTATTCACCTGCAAAAAATATATCATAGGTATATCATTTTAGGTACTGTTGAGGGGAGTGTCCTCTGAGGGGAAAGCAGTAACAGCCAAATTTGTTGCAGCACAGTTGGCTCTGCTGCTCTGATGAGAAGTTTTTAAAAAATGGGAATAGTTACAGGTGATTCCATTGGAAAGGGAATAGACAAGTGTTTCTGTGGCTGCAGATGAGCCTCCAAGATGATATGTTGCCTCCCTGGTGCTAAGGTCAAATATGTCTCTGTAGCTACAGGACATCCTGGAGGGGGAGGGTGACAGCTAGTAGTTATGGTACACTGGGAGTCCTGGACAAGGGTAATACCTGAAATGTTGACTGCTCCTTTCCACCAGATGCTGCCTGGCTTGCTGCATTCTTCCAGCCTCCTGTTTGTCTACCTTGGTACAAATGACATTGGTTTTAAAAGATGGAATGAGGTCCTAAAAGGAGAATGTAGGAAGTTGTGACCTCAAGATTATTACTAGTTCTATGTGCTAGTCAGTACAGAAACAGCAGCATCTTCCAGATGAATGTGTGGCTGAAGTGGTGGTGCAAGGGTGAGGGTTTCAAATTTTTGGTACACTGGATTTGGTTCTGGGCTGGTGGGATCCATACAAACTAGATGGGTTACAGCTATGCAGAATGGGGACTGATGCCCCGGTGGAGTATTTGCTGGAGTGACTGGAAGGCTTTAAACTAAATTTACTGGGGATGAGAACCTATGCAAGGAGCCGTAAGTATGGAGAATCAAGGACAAGAACAAAACATGATGAGAAAATTTAGAGAAATCAAAGGCCAGGATCAAAATAGGGCCTCGGTGGAAAAAGTGAGACAGGACAAATAATGCTAAAAAGACCAGCCTAAGGCTTTGTGCCTTAATGTGTGGAGCATTTGCAATGAAGTGGCTAAATGAATCACAACTAGATGAAATCAGGTTTGCTGCAGTTGGGATTACAGAGTGATGCTTAAAGCGTGAACAGGGATGGGAACTGAACATCTAGGGATATACAAACAAAAATGACAAAAAAATTGAAACGGTGGAGTTGCACTGCTGGTTAAAGAGGAAATTGCTGCAATAGTGAGTAGGGTCTTTAGCTGCAGCAATATGGATACTCTATGGTTAGAACTAGGAAATGCTAATGGGCAAAAACATTAGTGGAGGATGAATATAGACCCCTTCCCCTACCCAAGGCTGTAGGTGTGTGGTTGGAAATGGCATTAAAGAGGAAATTAGAAATGCATGCAATAAAGGAGCACCTTTAATAAAGGATGACTTTAATCTGCATCTAGATTGGGCAAATCAAATTTGGTAACAATACTGTAGAACAGGAATTCCTGCCATGTGTACAAGATGGCTTTCTAGACCAATAGGTTGAGGAATTGACTGAAGAATAGCCTTTATAGACTGGGTATTGTGTAATGAGAAAGGAATAATTAGCAGTCTAGAGGAGACGATTAATCCAGAAACTCAGCTAATGATCTGGGAATACAAGTATCTAGAATTGATTATCAATAGATTCTTATGAAACCATTGTCGAATGTCAGGAAAACCTATCTGGCTCATAATATCCTTCGGGGAAGGAAAGTGCTGCCCTCATCTGACCTACATAGGATTCTAGACGCTTAGCAATTTGACTAACTCTTAACTGCCTTCTGAAATAGCCTAGCCAGCCATTCAGTTGTATCAATCACTATGACATCTCAACAAAGAAACAAAACCCCAGATGGACCACCTAGCATCAACCTAACCAGCAGAAAAGACAGCAGCAGAAGCAGCTGTGTTGACACTGCAAAGTCCTCCTTATTAACATCTGAGAGCCAAAGTTGGAGAAAGCTGTCTCACAGACTCGTCAAGCAACAGCTTGACATAACCATACTTATGGAATTATTATAGACGTTATCCCAGACACTGCCATCACCATCCCTGGAAATGGCCTGTCCCACCACGGGGACAGACCCAACAGAGGTGGCGGTACAGCAGAAGACAGTTGGAAGGGAATAGCCCTGGGAGTCCTCGACATTGATCCTAGACTCTATGAAGTCTTACACCTTCAAGTTAAACATGGGCAAGGAAACCTCTTGATTGTTATGTACCATCCTCCCTCAGCTGATGAATCAGTACTCCTCCATGTTGAACAACAGTGGGAGGAAGCACTGGGGATCTCAAGGGCACAGACTATACTCTGGGTGGGAGATTTCAATGTCCACCACCAAGAATAGCTCAGCAACAGCACTACTGATTTAGTTGTTCAGATCCTAAAGAATATAGCTGCTAGTCTGCAGCAGGGAACCAACAAGAGGGAAAAACATATTTGACATCATCCTTACCAATCTGCCTTCTGCAGATGCATGTGTCCATGACAGTATTGGTAAGAGTGACCACTGCACAGGCTTTGTGGAGACGAAATCTCCCATTCACATTGAGGATGCATTCCATCGTGTTGTGTGACACTATCACTGTACGAAATGAGACAGACTTCAAACAGATCTAGCAACTCGACTGAGCATCCATGAAGCGCTGCGGGCCACCAACATCAGCAGAATTGTACTCCAGCACAATCTATAACTTCATGGCCTGGCATATCTCCATTAACCATTACCAACAAGCCAGGGTATCAACCCTGGTTCAATGGAGAGTACAGCACCAGGCTCACCTAGAAATGAAGTGTCAACCTGGTGAAGCTACCTAACAGGACTACTTGCATGCCAAACAGCATAAGCAGCAAATAATAGACAAAGTTTAGTGATCCTACAACCAATGGATCAGATCTAAGCTTTGCAGCCCTGCCATATCCAATGTGAATGGTGGCTGTTAATTAAACAACTCATTTGAGGGGGGCAGCTCCAAAAATATCTCCATATACAATGATTAAAGAGCCCAACACATTAATGCAGCAGATAAGGCTGAAGTATTCAGAACAATCTTCAGCCACAAATGCTGAGTGGATGAACTATCTTGGCCTCCTCCAATAGTCCCTAGCATCACCGATAGCAGTCTTCAGCCAATTCGATTCATCCTATGTAATATCAAGAAACAGTTGGAGGCAGTGGATACTTCAAAGCCTATTGGTCCTTACAACATACCGGCATTAGTACTGAAGACTTTTGCTCCAGAATTTGCTGCTCCCCTGGCCAAGCTGTTCCAATGCAGTTACAACACTGGTATCTACCTAACAATGTGGAAAATTGCCCAGGTATGTCCTGTACACAAAATGCAGCACAAATTCAACACAGCCAGCTACCACCCTATTGGTCTACTCTCATTGATCAGTAAGATGATAGAAGATGTTGTCAACAGTGTTATCAAACAGTGCCTGCTCAGCAATAACCTGCTCAGAGATGCCCAGTTTGGGTTCCTCCAAGCCCACTCAACTCCTGACCTCATTTCAGGCTTCGTTCAAACATGGACAAAAGAGCTGAATTCCAGAGACAAGGTGAGAGTGACAGCCCTTTATGTCAAGGCAGCTTCAACTATGTATGGCATCAAGAAGCATTAGCAAAACTGGAAATCAAGGGATATTGGAGGAAAACCCGCCACTGGTTGGAGTTACACCTGTCGCACAGGAAGATTGTGTGTTTGTTGGATGTTAGTCATCACAGCTGCAGGACATCTCTGCAGGAATTCCTTAGGGTACAGTCCTAGGCACAACCATCTTCAGCTGCTTCCCTCCATCATAAGGTCAGAAATGGAATGTTTGCTGATGATTGTTCAATGCTCAACACCATTCACAACTCCTCAGATACTGAAGCAATCCATTTCCAAATGCAACAAGATCTGGACAATATTCAGGTTTGGGCTGACAAGTGGCTAGAAATATTCACAACACCCAAATGCCAGGCAATGACCATCACCAAGAAGAGACAATCAAACCACTGCCCCTGACATTTAAGGACTGAATACCATCACTTAATCCCC